AAATTGCAAATAGAATATCATGTATATTTATTTACTACTGACACCTGATCATTGGTACAAAAATGGAGGATTTGTGCTGGTCTAGCCCGTCCCTAATCGGGTAAATACTATAAGTAGGTACATACAATCAATACTAGTCGATATTATGGGAGACCTCAAAAATATTCGGGATATTTGCACCCATATACCGTTTTAAATTATTATTTTCACTTAAAGTCAAGTCTAATAGTTTTTATATACGGATAAAATATAGAGAATATTATAAAACATAGACGTACGTTTGATGAATAAGTTCGCAGGTACGTGTACTACTGAGTTACTATATTGGATAATTACAAATACTTATTGATATTACCTAATTAATAATTTGTGTAAATCAAGTAGGTATCTATGTATATTATTATTATTATCTATGACCGCCGTTAGTTAATTCGCGAATCGGTACACTTAAACTTTTAAGTCCATAACTTATATTGAACTCATCAATAAATCGTTAAACTCAAAATTCATATCATCACTACGTCAAATAGTTTATTTTATGTATAATGTACAATACAACTGCATAACCGTTCCGCGTGATTAGCACACATTCAAGTGCAACACAACACCTAATCATAATATATTGTTTGTATGGACAATTTAACGGAGATTTCAGTCATGCGCCCTTTCAGTGAAAACTATGAGTTATGTTGCACGAATGTCAGGAAATTGTGTAATAAAAGTGCACGAAAATAATATAGAATTACTATAACCATAATAAGAAAGTGAGAACATAATATACCTAGGTGATTTATTTTGTAAATATGAACAAAGCGCGATGCACTTAGGTATCTAGACTATACAGTAATTTTATATTGCATATTATATGCAGGCCTGGCTCAAGGGGGTTGGCGACACAGACCCACGCCTAAGGCGACATTTTTCAGAGAGAGCGTCTACAATTTTTTACGTACTATTTACAATGAATTAGGGGCGGAAAAACTTAAATATGCATACATTTTAAATTTAAGTGTGTTTAAACGCTCGAATCGGGCCTGGTTATACAGGTATAATGTTCTAGCATTTCGCTTAGATTTAACGTGTTTAACACGGTAATATTTTATTTGCAAGAAAAACTTAAAATTCACCGTTCAAATTAAATAATATTACAGCGTAAACGTTTACTCCATACATTATTTCCGTCGATTTTCAGATTAATCAAAACGTTATTAATCAAATGCAATCTGTTACCGAAATTGCGTGCGGGTAATAATAATATTCTATAAATTAACTGCGCGTAACCGTCAGTACGTGTTTACTGCACTAAAAAGTATTTGTGAATATAAAAAATATATTTGTAAAACTTTTCCAACAATCGTTTCAATCGGAATCTAAAATATTTTCGACAAAGAATAATAAAACGTATACTATATATACCTCCTATAGGTATACGTTGAATATATTTGTTGATTTTTTTTTTATTTGTTTTTATACAATACGACTTCGTAAAGGACATTTTAATGGCATATGTTAAACTCGTAAAAAAACAAAAAAAAAAACGCGTACGAACAGTGAAAATTCGTCGTCAAATCCTTATAATACACACCTATGGGTGCATTCCGATGCCGAATACCGAGTATATTCCATTTGATAAATAAATAAGAGCTAATCGTGTCCAGACGGTATAAAATCATTATTGTTAACGAGCGTACACGGCCATCGATGAATATGTATAGTATACCCAACGAAATCAACGGCTAAACGCGATTCGGCATTAAAAATAACCACTATATTAATAACAATAAGTGTATCGATATAACCAACGAGTAACTAACGATTTTTAGTGAAAAAAAAAAAAAAAAAACGACTTGAAAAGTAGACAGTTTAAAAACGCTATAAACGTATTATTTTTTGGGGGGAGGGGAGGGGGAGAGGGGTTGTGAGCGAGAACAAAACTGTTATGATATTATAGAACAATGCGCGTTTAAACAATAAACGAAATGAAAAATTCAAGTTTTCTATCGGCCCTGATAAAATCGCTCTTGAAACGATACTAATAAAACTTTATATTGTTGTGATCACGAATATCAACTGCGCGGTTTAGGGAATGATTATTATTAACGTGCACGCTCCGGTGCATCAATACGCGTTGTACTAAACAAACGGCTATTATTCATTATTTGATATTATTTATGTTAACACTGCAAAACAGTAGTGCGCAGACGTCGCCGGCTAATTGCGTTCATGTAAAAACCACGGTATCCGGAGGTTACGTTTACGGTCTGTGAACACGCGTACGCATTTCACGTACACATTTCATATTTCACGTTGGGTAGGTGGCCCATCTGCACGTTACATTTTTATCGTCGCCTGTGCCCGTTGATGTTGTCCGAGCGGTACACGACGAGCAGCGACGGTACACGATAACATTCTGATTTCTGGCCGAAACGAAAAACGAATTTTTGAAAATACGCACTCGTAGGCGCGCGCGAAAGAATGAAAAACGATTCGATCCGACGACCGTAATATTTTCAAACTGCTTATACGAAAAAAAAGTACGTTTATTTTTTTCTTCCTAAACCGGTCGCAAAGATAAATCGTTGAGCGCGCCGTGCGCGCTAAACTCGTCTCGATTACCGAACTGCTAAATCATCGTGTTATTATTTCGGTAGGTTTACTTCGACCGCCACATCGCCCGAACAAACGCGTCTCTTGCCATATTGTAATAATGCCCGCTGCTCACGGCCAGTGCAATACTATTATAATAATATAATAGTTTCCCATAAATCCATTAACAACGATACGGTTTATTAAACGTAGCCGCCGTCGGCGGCGAAACGAGAACGGAAATTTTAAAAAAAAACGCAGCCGACACTGCTGACGGACAGGTACAGTGGCGCGTAACCCAGGGTCCAAGTGTTACTCGAGCAACACCATAAGCGTGCGCGGGCGGGTATTGCCGGAACGACAAAACATCAAAACCTGTTCGAAGAAGTCACCCCGTGTTACGATATAATAAATAATCGGAATACGTTTCGGCGACATTTTATTGGCAACTATAACAATATTGTGAGGTCACCTAATGTGATTTGAACAACGCCGATTTTTTTTTTTTTTTTGATACACGCCACTGGGTTGATGTGCCACTGTTCTATTGTAGGCGGCTGGAGTTGGAAAGGCGGGCCGATGTGCTTACAGAGAAATTCTATTTGTATCCGATAAATCGTTACTAACGAAAAACGATTCTGAGCGAAGTACAATTGACCGTATCAGTTTTGGAACGTCGTGATTTCTTTACGCGGTTTTCGTCGAAATTTTAACTTAACACTACTATACAAATTTTACACTTGAACATTTCACGCTCAACTTAAATTAATTTTTTTTTTTTACCACTTAAGTATGTACAACACTAAAAGTGAACTTCGAGTTAAATTTTAGAGCATATTCGCTCGGCCATAGAAAATGTGTTCGCATAAAACTGAATTAATTTGTAACTACAGAATAGATCAAAACTATTCGTGTTTTTGTGTTACAGCTTTGAAAATGTTATCCATATAAAACCAACAATAAAAAACCTAAAAGAACTAGAAATTTCAAATGACTATAATAATATAGCTAAAAAAAAATCAGAAATGTTTTGAAAATTGTATCACGTCTAGAAAGAACTAATGTAGATAAATAAGTTATATGCGAATATTTTTCGATTAGTTATAACGGAATGCCATCGGGAAAAAAAAATCGAGTTCGAGGGTATCAGAAACCGTTTTTGAGTAAATCTTGCGATTTTTCTGATATATTTGTTCAGAAAAATAACCCTTTCGTTGCGCCGAAATGACCAAATTTCTGTCAGGAAAAAACGCTAAACTTGACGGCCGGCGCATGATTTCTGGTGGAAAATGTGAATTCTCAGAAAACACCGCGCACAATCACAGCGGCAGTAAAACCGACGCGTCCACCGTTTCGCTCGACATCCAAATGGGGGGGAAAAAAAAAAAAAACGACCGCGCACGTTATAATATCGTAGACCCAATAGGTACGTTCCTATCGCTTCGCTGAGGATCAAAAACGAAAAATATTAACCCGCGAACGACGACGGGCCGGAATGATAGTGTACGGAAAATCTCGGACGGCGCATAAAAACCCGAAATATTAAAAAAGAAAAAAAAATACCCTAAACCCAACCGAAACTTTTGAAATCCCGCGAGATATTGCGGGTCAACGACGACAATTATGTTATCATATTGGACGCGCGTGCGTGTCCCGTACTCGGCCGTAAACCGCGACCGGTGAGTTCGGACGGACGAGACGACTTTACTGGGCGCATAACACGGCTGGCCCGACCGTCTCCGGCCGCGGCGGCTCGCCGACTCCGCGCGGGATTCGCGACCGATATTATTATGACAACGACGACTGCGTATCGTCACGGGGGTGTGCAATGCGATTGTCGGGCGCTGGCGAAATATCACGGCGGCGGGCCGCGTGCACGAAAAAGGCGGCGGCGGCGGCGGGAGTCGTCTCGGCCGCGGCGACCGGTCATCTTCATCCGTCATACGAGCGACCGTAACTGTTGCGCAATACTTAGCGGGCGGCCCACGCTCGTAGTGTTATGGATTTTTTTTTTTTTTTTTTTCTTTCCTTTAAGGTCACCGATCGGACCCCTCTCCTGTTCGCGCGTTACAGACGATGCACCGAAGGATAACAAACAAGTATACACGCGCGTAAAATCCGACGCTGCGGTGCGCGCATCCCGCGACCCGAGCCCCTCCCGCGGCCGCAAGACCGCGCGTCCGGGGAAGGGAATTCGAAGGGGAACGGTAATACGGTCTCGCTTTTTTCGTCTTTCCCCTTTTTTTTTTTTTTTCCTTTTTTCGTGTTCCGTACAGTGCTCGCTCTCCGTCCGCTCTCGTCGCTCTTTCGTTCACTCTCTCTCTCTCTCTCTCTCTCTCTCTCTCTCTGTCCAACGCACACTTGCGCGATCGCGCCCGCTCGTTTTCGATCTGGTACACACGACATAGCGTACAAGTGCCATCATTAATCCGGCCGCCGAACATCGCCGGGGGGGGGAATTCGAGTATTTATTGGTCAGACGACGGCCAACAGACAATTGTGTGTGCCATCGAGTCCATCAGACAACAACCAAGCAGCCAAGCAGCTTCAGTTCAAGACTAACCGACGAAAAACCCAAACAACAAAACTTCACAATGTATCACTCTGTAAGTTTTACACTTAGTTATTATTATTATTTTTTTTTTATTTTTTTCAACGCACACTCTGAACACATTAATATTATAAATACGCGATTTTAAAATAACATTTTTTTTCTATCTATTCGACCGACTCGGGAAAATAAATCCACAACAAGTTTAACGGTCTTTTTTTTTTCCGGACCACCCCGTTTCTGTATATTTGTTCATTTCGGTACACGCCGGGTGTTTATTCAATACGACAACACGCACCGAACACGTGACCGACTGCGCGGGTTTTTGTCCGAAAATGTTTTTCCGCTCGTATTTTCGTTGTATACACGCGGCGGGAATCGAAATTCACGTATTGTGCGAGCGATCTGTGTAGACGGGTAATGTACCGGGTATTCTCTATCTGCTCGTACTTGTGAAATAATATACAAACACTCGAAACCACGAGACGAGAAACAAAAGAAAATCCGTGACACGGCGTTTTTTTACGGCCCTCGACGACAACACGATAATTGTTATAGCGTCGTACGCGCCGATCCGCGAACGCAACACGGAAAAGCTTCTTCTATTCTTTTTTTTCCCCGTCATTCAAACCGCGTAACACACTCGAGAGCGCAAACAATAATGTCGCAGGGTACCGGCCGAGTCTATACCGGCCTAGCCCCGAAATACGTATATCGTTATGATTTCCGTGTTCGGATGGATGCGCTTTGATAACCTAAAATTGCAATACTACCGCGAACAATCATTCGCACGTACACGTGTTTACCGGTGTTTACAGACAGCTTTACTCGTTTTGGCTTCGGCCTGCGCCGTCTTCAGCGCCCCACAAGCCGCCTACTACGCCCCGGCCTCGGTCGCCAGCACTACGCCCATCCCGATCGTCGCCCAGACCCAAGAATTGAACCTCGACGGATCCTACCAGTACAGGTAAGCGGTCGCGAGACGAACGCCAACCGTAATCGTAAACCGTACCGTAAAGGCGCGCTGTATACTAATCGTTTTTTTCGTTCCGTTGCGCGCGCGCAGCTACCAGACCGGCAACGGAATCTCGTCCGGCGAATCCGGATACGTCAAGAACCCGGGAACCGAAGCCGAGGGACAGGTCGCCCAGGGATACTACTTGTACACCGGCCCGGACGGTGTCGTGTACCAGGTGGAATACTTCGCCGACGCCGAGAACGGTTTCGTCGCCAAGGGAGCTCATTTCCCCACACCGCCACCACTCCCAGAAGCGTTGGTCCGCGCCAACGAACTGGCCTACAAGAACGCCGCCGCCGACGCCGGACAATACGACGAGAGGGGTTTCCCGATCGCCGCCGCCGCCAAACGGTATTAGACCGCCAGTGCTCCCCTCCCCCTGACCAACATCGAAAAACCAACAACTGCCTGACGTTTTTCAATATTTTTGTAAATCCAATCTACTTCCTTTACCATTGATTCTTTTTTCGCTGTTCTTGATATATATATATATATAAATATATATAAAATTTAAAAAAAAATTCAACAATCCGGTTCGATGGCTCAACGAAAACGCGAACCGAATTGTTTTCTTTTTTTTTTTTTAGCTCTTTCGACAAACGCCACAAAGAAACGTCTCTCATAGTTGACGTTTCTGTTGTCGCTACTTTATAATAACGTATATGTATATCTCGGTCTGGTCTATAATCCATTCGAGATAGTATTTTGTTTACCATAATATAATAATCATATTATATCATGTGTAATAATATGTATGTGTCATTTTGTAGAGTTTAAGTTTTGAAATTAAAAACGAATTTTTAAAACAAATCAAATTTGTTCTGTATTTTTCTCCTGTGCTCAACTAATCATACTTCAAAACGGGTAAAAATTACAAAAAAAACCGGTAATTGTGTAGGCCATTTTTTTCAACATCACACTTTAACGTGTATAATATGATAATATATTATAATCCTTATTGGCAATCATCTACGGACGCGATTCATTGCCCAAAACCAGAAAAACCGGGTGAATCACAATGTAGGTATAGATATCTACGTATAATGGTCAAATCAATGTGATTTTATTCGTGGGTATGATAATAATTCATAGGAACCGTCGGAGGAAAAAAAAATTGACATATTTTCCATAAGCAAAACTGGTTTTTTGTAGTGTTACACTGGAAATGTAAAAAAAAAAAAAAACAAAAAACAAAACTATAATCGAATAACACATTTGTTAGCATAATTTCACAATAAAAGTTACATCAGCCAAAAAAAAAAAAAAAAGATGGTATAACAACGACACTACCGATTTCACTCTCGAAGTGTTCGCCTTGGTTACAAAATATTAGACAATTACAACAATATAATATACCTAGGAACTTATCGTAAAAACCATGTAACCATTTGTTATTTTTTACCCATTAAATATTTTACATCTTTTCAGTGTTAATAATAATATCGGAAATAAGTAACGAAAGTAAATCGTAGTATGTGTAAATTTAAAATTTGATAGTTATCGAATTATGATTCGATTATTGTACTATTATAGTGTTAACGAAAATTGAAAATTACCTGAAAAAAATAAAATAAAATTAGGATAATATATATATATATATTTAAAGTAATTTATTTTTTATATTTAAGCAACGGTAATCCATTGCTAACGAAAAACGATGTGCAGTATATTATTGGTGGTTTTTTTCCCTTGTTTCTAAGGTGACCCAAAACTCAACAAAAAATGTCCAGTTTTTCTTGTTTATTAGAAAAACTACAAGGAAAATTAGAGAATAGCATCCTCTATACACAAACTAGATTAAAAATTCTATACAAATATTCCTATAAAATGTTTGATTAGCACAAGATTTCTAGTAGAAAAATTGTTTACAAACATGCACACACACACACACACACACACAAACATATCATAGTAAAACTAACACTTTTCCCACTTCGTTCAGAATTTAAAATAATAATTAATTATTTTTCTTTAGCACGTGAAGACAGCGTACAAAAAGTAACAAAATTGGAATATTAAGTGGAATTATATATACAAGTGTAATTTTGGCACTTTGCAGATGATTAATGACCATTTTCATATTACATAACAATATAATATTATAGCATATGATTATTATTATGTTTTTTTTTTTTTTTAAGTTAAACGTTTCATGTAACTCAGATACAATACGCAGGTAAATGATGTTTATATGAAAATAAAACCAGTCGGCACGTTATGTATTAATATAATAAATTTGCCTATCCAAAACGCCTGATCTAGTTTTCAGTTATATATTATCTTTATTTTAGAATATGTCGACTGCCCCCCCAATTTCTAATTGACAATTTTTTGAAAATTCCCAATAATTTTTTCGAAAAATTATTTTTTCTTATCTTTTTTTTTAAACACTTGGGTGGTTAAAATGCTCCGATATTTTCAAGCTGTAAATTTTTATTCTTTTGGATCTTTTGTTTTATTGACACATTCGGTTAATGGAAGCAACTACTCTGGACCTAAATTGAGTCCAATAAGCTGCGTCTAAGTCTAAACTTTATAAAGATAATGTATTTCACAGGGATGCCCAAACATTCCTCTACCAAATAGTAAATATATTTGACCACCGCCCAAATAATAAAAGGATCGCAAATAAAATTTGTATGTTTTTTAACCATCATATCTGCCTCGAAGCACATACTTTGGTTGGGGTATCTCAGGATATACTTGTACCCAGTTTATCAGATTTGATATAAATTCAAATTAGTAATATGTAACAAAATAATATGTACCTAATGTTAATAAACTAAACATTTTTAAAACAAATAATTAAAAAATCCGTTTGCTTCTGAAGCATATTTTTTGGTCACTTTTTCATCCCTAATATTTTCTAACGTTTCTATTATTGGTATAATTATATTAAGTATAATATCTTTAATGCTGACATATTGGTGGATACCCTTTTTAAATGCAGAACTTGATTTTGATTTTTTTTTTTTTTTTTTGAAAAATAGCCGACCGTTTGGAAAAATAATAAGTAATTCGCGAACGGGCTACCCCATCGCATAAAGAGTCTCTTTTTGTAAAAAGACTAATTATCCATATGGCCTACGACACATTTTATAATATAAAACCAACATAAACATTCCGTTGTACCGCCACAGAATAATTATTTATGTCGGGTTAAAAAACCAAAAAAGAAATCTTTAACTCTTATTATACGTACTATACGGTCTACCAGGTGATCCATTAACTTTTTCCGGAAATTGTTTTCTAGAACATTTAAGAAACAAACTGCACTACAATTTTATATTTGTTATTTTTTGTCACGTTTATTTTTGGCGGTAAAAACACTACCTACTTTTGATTTTAAAACTGCACCTATATTAAAAAAAATTGCATAAATAGATGGTGGAGAGTAGTGAAATGTCATTTGTGTGGCACGCGGCGTGTTTTTAACGCACCACTACTCTCCTCCGACCTAAAATTAAAAGTGGAATATCACATCAACGACTTGACAAAAATAAAAAATTTCAACACTCAAATTTATTTTAACTAATACTCTTTCTATTTATGAAATTTTTAATATAGGTTGCCGTTTGAAAATCAAAAGTATGTAGTGGTTATACCCCCAAAAATAATGGTTACAAAATATAACATAAACATAAAATTGTAGAGGTGGTTGTTTCTTAAATGTTCTAGAAAACAAATTCCGAAAAAAGTTAATACTTTCCGTATTAATGAGTGTACCCACTTCAATAGATCACCCGGTATATGCATACGCTTATGAAAAACGTACAGACTACAACAAGTTTCAAGTCCAGGTATATAGACAGTAGGCACACGCATGTACGTTTAACTATCGCCATTTTTATTGTTCCAAGCCTATGAAAAACCGCGTTTTATTTTATTTTATATTATTATTCTATCTTATACACGCTCGTGCATAAAATAATTATTTTATATTGAAGACTCCCAACCGGTTTCCTGCAGTTGTGTCCGAATATAACGACGACCGCAACGACGTCGGACGAATTCCACGACACGGCGCGCGCCCTGTACCCCGTCCACAATCCGACCATCGTCGTCGCAGACTTGTCGGCGGCCTTGGCCGGTAGGACGGAAAAGAGATAAAAAAAAATATATATATATAATAAAAAAACTAAAACCATTATAAATTAACCGATGAGGAATTGGTAGAAAAAAAAAATTATACATACCTATATACCCGTCCTACTCGTATGATGCTCGCCGAACGACGGGTATTTCCACTGTAATATAATATTATATACCTACGTTTTTACTATTTTAACAATAAATTATATTTGGATATTGATATGTGACCGCACGTTTCGAAATATTGTTCAATAGACCCGAGAAAACAAAATTTGAATATCGAATTACATTTTAGATTCTGAATAGAGCGAAGAACAAATTTTTTACCGGAAGACTTGTTTGGATTTCAAAGTGTAGCACCTTTTATGCAAGGAAATCGGTGTACGAAGGTACTTTAAGGAAGTCATTTTTCGATTTTCTCAAGAGTTTTCTCATCAAATTTGAAAAACCGAAAAAAAAAACGAGAAAATATACGAAATATATTACTAAAATATTTTATTTTTTTCCTGTGCACAATTTTTCAACTATCAATTTTGCAACTTTCCAAACATTCCAACTTTTAATGAAAGCAATGTTTCTAAAAGAAAATTTCATTAGAGAGGTAATTCAGAGAAGTCGTTTTTCGATTTTCTCAGTTTTCCCGGCAAATGTGAAAAACCGGGATAAAACATGGGAAAACCGGTAAAAACGTAAGAAAATTGGAAAAAATCGGTACAGCATTAAAAATATATTTAACCTATTTAAATAATTTACTATAAAATGACATATATATATATATATTTACATTATTGACTAAGCATCACTATCAACTGAACTCTGCTCGGAATCGTTTTTTCGTAAGCAATGGTTTATCGTTGCTTACAGATATACATTAAATTATCTATTACAGTAGCTGTATCCGTCCCCATTATCCTAGTATAATCTTCTTCTTCTTTAGGTTTTTCAGGTTACACTGGTATTGCCTTCCCAGAACTCTCTATTCTTCCCTGTATTCTATTTTTCTTTTAATATCAGCATATTTTAGGCCCAGTTCTCCACATGTCTGTGATATACAATTAATTCTAAGTCTTTCTCTTCTTTTTTTCCCTTGAAGGTATTGCCGTCAAGGACTATTTACATAAGACTATCATGTCTCAAAGTATGTCCTAACAATTGTAATTTTCTTGCTCTTGTGAGATGTATCCTTGTCCTTTGTTCATTTACTTGTAGTACTTGGTCATCTGTTACTCTACCTACCCATTTAATATTTTGCATACGTCGCGCGTAGCACCACATCTCAAATGCTTTTATCGATTCCTCTTCATTTGTGTTGTATGTACATGTCTCCGCTGAGTATAATGTTATAGGCCATACATATACCTTCAATATCTTTCTCCTGAGTGTAATGTTTATCTTTTTTGATAACAGGATCTGTTTTTTTTCGTGAAATGCGCCCTTCGCCATTCCAATTCTTCTCCTAATTTCTGTTTTGCATCTTACATCATCTGTGAATGTTTGGCCTAAGTAGCAGAAATGGTTCACCTGTTCTATCAAATAACCATCTATTGAGATTTCTGCTCTTATCTTTATAGATACTTTACTCTTTATATAGGTAGTTAATACTTATGTATGCTGCCGAGTGCCGATCAAATAATGTTGAATTACGATTATTAAATCGCACCAGTCTTGTTTTTCTGCCGTTGCTTCCGCTCCCAATATAAGATGTAACAGCAGATTAGGATATTATTAAAACATTTAATTATGAAGGACAATAAAAATCGAATTACTGGTAATAAGCACTGTCTCTGCTAATATAGTAATAATAATAATATACGTCCATAGAATAAGAAGAAAAAAGTAAAATACTTAAAAAGTGATTAAATTCAATATGATAGGTACATACTGATAGTACAATTTTTGGTAGATTACCAATGTAAAATAAACAACAAACAGGTAGACACAAATCGGTTCGGTCAATGGGTGTCGATAGTCGAAACTACCATTAATTTTATTACGTATATTATAAAATCAATGATATACTATGTGAAACTAGACGACCACAAGTTTTCCGCGAGTACAATAAACTTTAATAGTTCTAAAACCTTGCATTGTTCTAATGCCAACAACATACCTACTCCAGATTTAGATTCATTAAGCTAGATCACCACAGGTTGTCGAGTACAAAATCAATCAAGAATGTAAGCGAGACATGAGTACTTACTTAAATATATATAAATCGTCCGGATAGTAGGTACCTACTACAGTATGCTAGGTAACCTCGTTATAAATCGTGCAACACATAAACACAACAGTTGATACCACAAGTTAATAATAAACAACAAGTCTTCTAAAATATAATAATTTATTTTTTGAGCCTCTTATAGTCTTATCAAACTCGGTCCTCAGATTTTCAAATCTGAAGCACCAAATCTGCAGACAAGCGATTTCATGAATATTAGTTTTTATAGACAATAATTAATAATTAAACAAATTTATAGGTACCTATACGTGTGACCGTGACAGTGGCGAACTGCTATCACCGTGTTATTCAACAACCTAGTTTTAATATTGTCTTATAAGATAAAAGATATACTACAGTCTCCGTTGTTAAAAAATAATAATTATGCCCTCATATTTCACATTACCTAATGTGTCATACTTCTACTATTAATAATATTACCTATATATTATATTAATAATTACTTTTGATTATACATTTGAATAATAAATAAAATTAGTAAAATTTATAATTTATAATTTTTGTGAAAAATATCTGCTAGCTTATAATACGATATAAATTGTTTTTCTGGATTTTAGAGACCGATAGTTTATGTCATATTGAGATTTTCTTTTCTCACATTTATCTGTCTGGCTCATCTGCTTCATTGGTGTTTTTTAACTACCTAATTTACTTTTCTAAACTTACAACTTACTCAAAACCTATACTAAAAGAAATAAAAATGTTTGTTTTTGAAATTGTTTCTAGAAAATAAAGAGGAACGATTCTAGTTTAGCTCCCACAAAATGTGTTTTTGCATTTACATTAAAAATTTAAAAAAAGTCGGACGAGCTTCATTTGGAAATTATGGGAGAAAATTTCATAGAGTTAAGGGTTTTTTGTTTCATGTACCTAATTCTTAGATAGAATTTAATATTTTCAATTTCCCCCCCCCCCAAAATGTGTGTTTTTTAATGCTTAATCCATTGGTATAATCAAAACTTACCTATCATACCTACTTTTATAGTTTTTTTACATACACCTTGAAAAATAGCATTTTTGGAATTAATCCAAAATGTGGTCAAAAATGGGCATTTTTTTATTATTTTTTGTAGTTATTTTTAATGGAGTCAGAATATATCTATCTGGCTTAGTTTTAGAGTTACAAATGTTCAAATACGCTGTGTTTCGCTATGCTCACTCGAAAAATTTTAATCAAAAATAACCCTCGATTTGTTGTACAGTCACGTCGGGTAGGTAACAGGGAAAAATGAAAACCAATGTGGTCACTATCTCACCTAACCTAACCTCTCATCCGACTTTTTTTATTTTACATTCTTTATGTACAAGCAAAAACACAGTTTGAAAAAAAAAAACAAAAATCGGGTGAGAGCTAGAACTAGAATTATGAAAATAGAGATATTAAAACTCATAGTGTGACCCATTAAGGAATATGCATAGGTGGATTTTGAAAAAGTATGCGATTTGGTTTTTTTTTTTATATTTAGTTGCAAGTGCAGAATCACTACAAGATATATGATGTTCTGACAAGGTTTCACTTATTTTGCCAGCTAGCTTAAACATGCCAAGCATCTAGCAGCCAAATTATAATATTCAGGTAGTTATATCACTTATAAATCATGTTAATTAATGTTATAGTATCATAATATTAAAGAGATGTCTCTGAACCAAAGGGTAAAAGTATTCAAACCGAGCCTCATGATCACATCTTTCTCATTTAACTAACACCTATGATAGCTTTTTAACTTTGCTCGCATAACAATGTTTTAATTTGCTTTTAATACATTTTTCTCACATTATAAGACTTAATGTTTAAGACACAAACCTATCCTCATTACAGTAATATTAGGTTGGAAAATGTAGATTACACATGGTACAGAAATCTGCAATACTCATTGAATATATATTTTTCTAAATATAACCAACTAAAAATAAACAGAAATTAAAAGGAAAGTAAACACACAAAGATTAAATGCTGATGTTTCGCTATGTATCATTGTATTCAATTCTCCTATTTTTAAATCTACATTTGGTTCACCTAACAACATAGTTGAAATTGTAGTAAGTGAATTATTAGGTGGTGATGTGATAACACCACTACTGTTAATTAAAACCTGAAATATTAGAAAAATATACTTAGGTGAGTAAAATCGTGACACTAACTTTAATTAAATAAATACATTTGTAGTTCTATCACTTTTGTTCTGTTCATTTTGACTATTGGTATTGTTCAAAGGTAAAATTGGTTTTTTTCCTAAACTGTTGAATGATGACTGTATACATTTTAAAAAATCACTGTGTTCTGTTGTACTATTGTGTTTTTCAAAATAGTTGAACAGAATAAACATAGAACATGTAGTACAGAAAACCGTAGAATTATTTATATTTTCTGGATGTACTGTTTCATTATGATTGTCCCAAGTATATTTTTCTTCAGTCATAAAATCGCATATATTACAATAGTATGAGGTTTTTCTAATAAGATGATCTTTATTTATTTTAAATAATTTCAGCAAAATCAATTTACGATTAAAATACTCTGTGTACTTTTGTTTACTGTTTACAGCATTACTATTTTGCAGATTTTTGTTTGATTCTTCCTGGCCAACAATATTTACAGGTAGTTCCTGTAAATTATTTATGAATTCAAATTTAACCAATCAAATAATTACATATCTAATAATTCAAAATATTTATAAACTTTTATTTATATTAAATTTATCTTTTAAGTACATCACACTGAATGCATGGCTTTTGTCATATTTTTCCTACTCAAGTGCAACCTAATATTCATGTTTAAAAGGTAAACTGTATAAAAAATGTCTCCTCTTTATCCAACCATACCTAATCCTATACTTCACATCCTCATTGTTCTTTGAACAAAAGATTCTAGGTACTTAAAGCTTATGTTTTGTTTAGACAAGATTTCTGGAAGAAAAGTAGTTTGCAGACAAAAAAAAACACATCATAGTAAAACCAATACATTCTTCGTTACATTTAGAATCAAAAAGAAGTAATTAGGTATGCTATCATTCTATCTAATGATAGATGAAAATTATATAAATGTTGAAATCAATATACAAATAAAATGAGGTGTCCGATTTTTAAATACACTATTTTAACTGATACTGATTTATTACATTTAAAATTAAATTAATACAATTTAATATTAAGTGGAATATTTACTTTACATTCATTAAAACATTATTTTTATGTTAACTATTTAAAACAGAAATGAAGATAAAAATAAAAAAAAATGACAATATTATTGTATACTGTCAAGATGAATAAACTTAGCAATTAGAACTTTTCAATAAATCATTTTTCATACTAGAAAAAAAAATGTTATCTATCTCTAATTTAATATGTTGTTTAACTGTCGGATTTTCTATATATTTAAGTCTTTGTGTTACATATTCCCCATACATTTTGTCTTCATTAAGTACCTCCACTCTCTTAAGGTCTGCTACATTTTTCTGACATAGACTTGATACGAAAATAGATTTTCTATCACTTTCTTCTGCTGTAGGTTCATTTGGGTTTAAGAAAAACTAGAAAAATTAATTATATTACATTTTAGAAACATCAGAAACTTAAAAAAAAAAATTGCAAATAGAAACTACTCTATCGTAGTTAATACTCATTTAAAATGAATACACTTGTACCTAAATATAATTGATTAATGCACATTATATATATTATTTTAATATAACTGTATAAATGTATTCAAAACTTATGTATTGTACATTACCGAATCATTTAACTTGGCACAACAATTTGATGTTTCGCCATGTATCATTGTATTCAATTCTCCTATTTTTAAATCTACATTTGGTTCACCTGACAACATAGTTGAAATTGTAGTAAGTGAATTATTAGGTGGTGATGTGAAAATACCACTATTGTTAATTAAAACCTGAAATATTAGAAAAATATACTTAGGTGAGCAAAATCATGACACTAACTTCAATTAATTAAATAAATACATTTGTAGTTTTATTTCTTTTTTTCTGTTCATTTTGACTATTGGTATTGTTCAAAGGCAAAATTGGTTTTTTTCTTAAACTGTTGAATGACTGTAAAAATTTTAAGAGATTACTGTGTTCTATTGTATTATTGTGTTCTTCAAAATTGTTGAACGAAATAAACATAGAACATGTAGTACAGAAAACCATAGAAATATTTATATTATCTGCATGTACTGTTTCATTATGAAAGTCCCAAGTATATTTTTCTTCAGTAATAAAATCGCATATATTACAATAGTACGAGGTTGTTCTAAGAATACGATCTTTATTTATTTTTAATAATTTCAGTAACTTCAATTTATGATTAAAATACTCTGTGTACTTTTGTTTACTGTATACAGCATTACTATTTTGCAGATTTTTGTTTGATTCTTCCTGGCCAACAATATTTACAGGTAGTTCCTGTAAATTATTTTAATAATTAAAATTACTTTTAAACTCTCATTTAAATTAAAATTTTTTTTTATGTACATCACACCGAATGCATAGCTTTTGTCCTATTTTTTCTACTCAAGTGCAAGCTAATATTGATGGATAAAAGGTAAACTGTACAAAAATCTCTTCATTTTATCTAATCACACCTAATCCTATACTTCAAATTCTCATTGTTTTTTTGAACAAAAGATCCTAGGTACTTAAAGTTTTCAACCTCTCCTATTATGTCACCATTAGGTATCTTGTCCTGTTCCTCCAAACTCATACTCTATAATATNTGAACATAATACATATCCTCTATCAAACTAATATACAATTTGAAAAATTTTTCTCTTTTATCAATAAACAAGGGAAAACATTCTACCACAACTTTTACTTTATTTTCTATAGTTGGAAGAGATTTTACAGATAGTTAATTATTTTGAATTCACCTTAGCTTCAGAGAATAACTGATCAAGACATTTTATTGTCATATGTTCTACACTTAATGAATGATAATCTAATATTTCAGGGCTACAAACAAATGTTACTCTACAATATTTGCAATAATATTCAATGGTGTTGTTTTTTTTCTTAATATTTAATAATTCAGCTGTTGTGTGAATTGGTTTTTCTTCAAAACGTCTACAATGAGTACAATAGTACATAGGTTTTTTTTTTGAAATATAACGGTTCATAACCTTAGCCATAATAATTGATAAACTAGTGTTTAAAAACTTTTTTGAATGATTAGCTTTATGTTCACATAAAGACTTTTCGGATCCGAACAACAATACTTTACATTTTTTATAATCACAGACATGAGAGTACGTATCTTGAATCATGTGATATTCTGCCAAATGAGATATTGATATAATATGACATTTCCATTCATTAAAATCATTTGTTTTAAAAGAACAAATAAGACATTCAAACTTGTCAATATTTTTATATTTGTTGTGAATTTCTGTGTCCCACAGTTGAACTTTCGCGAGTAATTTATTAATATCATTATGTTCATGAATTATTGTAATTTTGTCACATATTCTACAGTTTTTACATTTGATTGTATTTCTGGAATTAGACTCTGACATTTTTGATTCTGTTAAATTTTTTACTGAAAAATTGTTTAAAATTATATTATTTTAAATTAAAAATTAATTTTAAAATTCTTAAATATTCAAAGAATGGCATAATATTATAATGTATTAACCTAATAAAAATAATTGTATACATAAAAAAATAAATTAATATAAGTGAATTTTTGAAAAAAGGTTAAACAACTGATATGTGTAATTTGAATTATCAAAAAAATATAGTCTTAATAGACACATAGAAATAGTTTGTTAGAATTACTTATACAACATTATCTTAATCAAATATCATTGTTTAAGGATTATAATATACTAATGTACCTAGGTTTAATTAGAAAGGACCAAATTACAGATTAGTTATGATGACAAAGATACAATTATAGAAATCATGAATTAAGAAATAATTATTTCTTATTTCCTCCTGTTAAACAAGACAAATTAACTTTTCCCTTAAATTATTTTCTAAGTTAAAATCCCATTTTACTATACTCCTATTAAAATTAAAATGTATCATAAATATAATATTTAATTTGTATAAGAACGGGTGTAAAAAATATTTTTAAAAACGATTTACCAATTTTTCCATGAATATAATTTTGTTATATAACAAAAAATTTTAGACTTAAAGATTCATCATAATAAATATTTGTAACAAAAAGTTTGTTTCAAATATAGATATTTATAAAATGGAAATCATGAATAAAACAATTTTTGAAAAAGTTAAATTTTGTATTCATAGTTTTAAAAAAATATAAAATAAAACAATCATAACAATGATTTAGTAATTATTACAAGGAAAAAAATCTAAAATATTGAAAAAACAAGTTATCTATTGAATTTGTCAGATCAACATGTGACACACCTCTATGATAACAATTTGGATAGTACTGTATATTTATATATCACTGTACAACTGAACTATTAATTCAACTGGTTATATCAACACTACCCATAACTAGAATTTATTGTTCTTTAATTAAAACAATAATGAATATTTTATTTATTTAAAAAAAAATATATAGGTATGAATGAACAAGCTGTCCCTCGAAGAAATACCCCATGAAAATCTCCAAATATAATAAAAATAACCAAATTCTGTTTTTTTTTTTTTTTTTTTATTTACTCACAGGGAAAAGGGCTGCAAATATTTATATATGAATTAGTTTTTTTTTATTAAAAAATTTTAAAATAACTTTCTTTTATTATTTTTGGAAAATTTTAAGACAGCCATACTTTAAAGATTGTTTTTCTGAAAATTTTATTGTATCAATAGTATGAATAGTTTCTAAGTAACAGCCATTTTAAATTCTACTAATCCGTGTGAAAACCGATGTTATCGTGTTACATAGTTAGGTTAATCCCTAGATTACATCAGTTTTAACACGGATTAGTAGAATTTAAAATGGCTGTTACTTAGAAACTATTCATCAGATATAAATGTGTTATACATTAAAAATTTTAAAAAAATAATCTTTACAGAATGGATATCTTACAATTTTCAGAAAATAATAAAAGCAAGTTATTTTTAAATTTATTTAATAATAATAAAAAATGCATTCAAATATAAAAATTTGTAGGCCTCTTCCCCGTAAATAACATAAAAAAAAAAAAAAACAGAATTTGATTATCTTTATTATTTCCAGAGATACTCAAGGGGTACATCTTTGTGGGACAGCCTGTATATATTCAGCTATAAATCATAATTCATAATACCTACAGCAGAACATCAAAACTGGAAACAAAAAATATTTAATTTTAATTAAATAAATACTTACATTCTAACAATACTTCCAATTTTTGAACACGGGTTTCCAGTTTATGAAATGTATTAATTAAATTAGAAATAACTAAAATAAATAATTAAATTTAATAATATTATAGGTACTTATAAGAAGTGATGAAATTATAATTTCAATTAATTACTTTTCAATGTGTCTGCATTTTCACTATCTTTTGAAAAATGTATAGGTGATGATTCATGTAGATTAGACTAAACAAATAAATTATAACAAAATAATAAAATAAAAACAAAATTATTAAAATGGTTAATACATGTAAATAAATATACAAATAAAAAATGTATACATAAAAATAAAATTTATAAATAAATGAATGTGTTGCCTGGAGTTTTATTTTAAGTATATTATGTGACTGGTTTCGAATTAAAAATTCATTATCAGGTATATCGCAGTTAAAATGTATAACGCGACTGAACATAAAAAATTAAATGAAGGAATACATAAAAAAAAATTTACAAATTGGTTGTTTACATAGAATTAAGAAACAATTTATTTTAATAGTTGAGATTATTTAAAATTAGTTATTATTAGAAATAGATACGTTAAGAAATAAGAATTATTTGGTTATTATTTATTAATAATATTTCACACTTTAAAAATCACATCCAACAAAAATGACTACATAAGAAAAATGAGAAATGACGTAGGGTAAATGATAAAATTAATATTTTATTTGTGTATATAAAATACACAAAAATTACAACTTAAAAACCAGCTATTCTTTTCAATCACGAGTTACTAATTTAACTTCCATAATTTTCAATAAAGCTGAAAATAATTTATCAAATAAAGGTAATAAATTCAATACATATCAAATATTAAACTTTTAATCAATTAAAAAGCAATTAATACAATGTGAATCTGTTATAAATTATATACAATTTCAAAATTAAAATCAAACAAGATATAACCTAATAAACAGCACCAATAAAAACTACAAAAATAAGCCTGACAAAATATTAAAACAAAATTAATAAAACCATTCAATTTACACTCGAAATACAAATGAAGAATTAATTAAGTTTCTTAGATCTTACAGTTTCCATAATAAACAATACATTTGATTTTAGTATTTACAGGAAACCTATAAAAACTGATTCTATAATACCTAATGATTCTAATCACCCTTATTCTAAAAAAATATTTTTTAATTCAATATTCTATAGTCTTGAACATATTCCATTAAATAAATATAACTATCAACACACGCTCAATATTTTCTATAACATAGCCCATAGAAATAATTTCAATTTAAATACTATTGAAAAAATTCATAAATGTGTTGAAGAAAAAATAATACACAACTCACCAAATAATATTATTAACTATTGAAATATGAAATATCAAAACAATCTAACAACAAATTCGCTAAAATTCTGAACAATAATACAAATATTGTAAAAATCGCTTTTAAAACTAATAATAATTTAATCAAACATATAAACAATAGAACTAAAAACTTTACAAAAAAATCGCCATTCTTTTGAAAATGCTGATGTATATAAACTTAAATGTAACTAAAATCAATTTTATATAGGTAAGACAAATAGAAATTTTAAAATAAGATACAACAAACAAATTTCTGAAATAAAATTTAAAAAAGATTGCCCTTAATTCAAATTTTCAAATTTCCACCTGAGATCCACTTAATATTATTATTGGTGAATAATAGTTGTATTTGAATCTTAGAACATTACCAAGTCAATAACAATATCAATACATTATACTATTACAAAATTAATAATTACGAGAATATATTGTAAATAATTCATTAGTTATGTACCTAGATATTAATTATATTGTTGAAAAACGAATTAAATTACCTTTGATAATTGTTCATAGTAAACGCGCTCTGCATCAGCATATTTAGCTTTATCGAGCCACACATTTTCTTGAATTAAAATCTTCAACATCATTTTAACCATGATTTCAACTAAATAATGTATCCCGATTCCGAAAAAGAAAAACTTGAACTCACGACTAATAAGCTAAACAGTATTTAAACCAAGGCGACTATAATAGCGCTATCATAAACGCCTTGATTCGGTTTTACACCATATTTCTAAAGTTCAAATCTACGATAGAATTTAAGTAGTATGAGATGGGAACACGGTCATAGTGGGTTGGAAGGAGAATGTATTGATAACAATTATGTTGTGTGTTATTTAGATTGCCTACACAACTAAAACAAAAGGAACAATGGTTTTTAATGAAGGCGATCTAATACGTACAATAATAATAAATTATGTTTTGACTTACCGAGTGTGATCGATTCTAAGTCTTAAAAGTCCACACTATGCGTGTTTATGTTTGATGTTATGCGTTTCCCGTTTCGCAGTATATCGTACTGTTTTGTTGATTATTTTTTACATTTTTAGATTTGCGATCTGTATCTTTCGGACCTCACAAACATTTGTATTTTTTAAATAATATGTCTGTGAACTGTGAAGATATCTGTGACGTATGTTCTGCTAGCAATATTTGATGACATAAGAAGGTCCAGTGCTTCCCAAATTTGTATACAGTGTTGCCTATTTAACTCCTGTAATCGTACCGCTACTAGTTTAATAAGTTGCCTACCCAGCACCAAACCATTAATTTTTTAAAACTTGCTATCGTTCAATTTTGTACCCATGTCGCATATTCGGCTTCTGAGTATATTGTTGAACTTGTTTCTTTATTACCTATCAAACTTTCGAAACTATTACTGATGTTTAAACAAATATTTCTATAGGTACCAACTACCTACCAAAGAATATTTTTATTTAAATATTGCCAATGATCCTTTTAATTATTACTTGATATAGAAGTTAGCTCCACGATTACAGATATACCTATAAGTATATCTATATCCATAGTTAGCTCCTATACAATTGATAAGAAATTTTTTTAATTATCTGTGGAGATTGGTTATTACCACATACTTTAAGTTGTATTTGCCAGAATAATAAGGAGTAATTTACTATGGGATCAGAACAAACCCATGTAAAATGCATATGGATAGCGCAGAATACCTCACTAAAATATATCTAGGATCTATTCCAGTAAACAACTCTACTCAGAATCGAAAATCTTACCCAATCAAAAATTATACTAATAAAAACTTTATGCTACTTACCTATATCAAAAAATTTTAATAGGTACAACCGCCAATCAGTCATCCAAAAATATGAAATGAGAACTAAAAATTTAATATTTTCCAAAATAAACAGACAAATATTATGATAAACTATCTGATAACGGGTTTAAGAATTTATGAAAAACTTATATAAAAATTGTATTAACTTATTAACAACAAATTGCTTAAAAAGATAGTTGCTCAATTATCTAATTCTGTGTATCCATTACTGTCATTACTATATGCATTGGCTTTATATTTAATTATTATTACTATTTAATTCGTTTGTTCATTTTTTTCCTTTTTCTGGTGTTTATTTTTATTTTTTCGTTTACGTAGAGCCTATCAAAACAAAGATTTCATCCTACACGATGCAGTAAAATTAGTAAATATTTGTAATTATGTAAAATTGTAAAACCCAATACTACTAAATAAATAAATCTGTATTATTATTATTAATAATAAGTATAATAAATATTCATGTTTAAGATTCTTAGTGGAGTGAAGAAAATTATAATTTTACAAAGATGTTTTTTTTTTTTTTTTTATCTGGAAACAATTTTTCAACCAGAAAATTTGCTTGGATTTTAAACACTTTCTGAATGCAAATCAGTGTGGAGAGGTAATTTAGGGAGGTTATTTTTCGATTTTGTCAAAAGTTTTCTGATCAAATTAAAAAAACCAGGAAAACTTACAAAATATTTTTACTAAAACATTACTACATTTTTTTCCTGTGTACAACTTTTCAACCAGTAATTTTGCTCCAAATTTTAATGATAGCAATGTTTCTAAAAAAAAATTTTACTAGGGAGGTACTTTAGAGAATCCAATTTTTTAATTTTTCGAAGAGTTTTCCCAGCAAATATGAAAAACTGGGATAAAACAAGAAAAACAGGAAAAAACGTAGTTAAGGTGAGAAAATCGGTACAACAATAAACAAATATTAAAGAAAATATATAAAGCCTATTTAATTATTATATTATAATATGACATATGCATTGTTGGCAAAGCATCACTATCAGCTGAACTTCGCTAGAATTGTTTTTACGTAAGTAATGGTTTATCGTTGCTTACATGTATACATTAAATAAACTATAACAGTGGCTGTACCTGTCCCCATTATCCTAAAGCATCTTTAATTTTTTTTAATTACACCTAGGTTTTTTTTCCTAATGTGATTTTGATCAGGGTTAGACCGATGTTATCTAGACTCTAGAAAAATGTGGGTTGTGTTCACTGATCTAGAGAATAACCTAACCGTGTAACGTGAAAACATCAGTCACATTAAAATTTTCAGAAAAATAAACTCTACAGAATAGATATCTTAAAATTGTCTGAAAATAATAAAATAAAGTTTTTTTAAATTTTTTTAATGAAAAAAAAAAATGTATGTAGAAATATTTGTACTACTCATTCCTATATTACTACATAAAAAAAAAAAAAATTGGATTATCTTTATTATCTCCGGAGATATTCAAGGGGTATATCAAGGTCTGTATATACAATTTACAAAAAAAAAACCATTAATGCCGTAAACTATTCTGTACTTTCTATGTTCTTTCTCAATTATTGGAAAACTGATTGAAAAATACAAACATAAACATGACTTTTTAAAATGTACAAAATAAGATTTCTGGTCACTTTTTCGATTGGAGTAACCTTACAGGTTGTAAATATGAATCGTATGAATCTAAAAAAATTGGTTATACTGTGGCTGTCCATAAGATTTTGTCACTTTTACTATAATTTTATTTACAGATGAAAAATCAAAAAAAATTTATCTTCAATGCACTAAATACTAGATTCAAATTGGAACAAAAAGGGTCTGTTGTTATTTTTTGTTTAGAGCAAAATTTCTAGAAGAAAAGTTGTTTACAGATAGAAAAAGCACTAACTAGGTATGCTATCATTCTATCTAATGATAGATGAAAATTATATAAATGTTGAAATCAATATACAAATAAAATGAGNATATTTACTTTACATCCATTAAAACATTATTTTTATGTTAACTATTTAAAACAGAAATGAAGATAAAAATAAAAAAAAAATGACAATATTATTGTATACTGTCAAGATGAATAAACTTAGCAATTAGAACTTTTCAATAAATCATTTTTCATACTAGAAAAAAAAATGTTATCTATCTCTAATTTAATATGTTGTTTAACTGTCGGATTTTCTATATATTTAAGTCTTTGTGTTACATATTCCCCATACATTTTGTCTTCATTAAGTACCTCCACTCTCTTAAGGTCTGCTACATTTTTCTGACATAGACTTGATACGAAAATAGATTTTCTATCACTTTCTTCTGCTGTAGGTTCATTTGGGTTTAAGAAAAACTAGAAAAATTAATTATATTACATTTTAGAAACATCAGAAACTTAAAAAAAAAAATTGCAAATAGAAACTACTCTATCGTAGTTAATACTCATTTAAAATGAATACACTTGTACCTAAATATAATTGATTAATGCACATTATATATATTATTTTAATATAACTGTATAAATGTATTCAAAACTTATGTATTGTACATTACCGAATCATTTAACTTGGCACAACAATTTGATGTTTCGCCATGTATCATTGTATTCAATTCTCCTATTTTTAAATCTACATTTGGTTCACCTGACAACATAGTTGAAATTGTAGTAAGTGAATTATTAGGTGGTGATGTGAAAATACCACTATTGTTAATTAAAACCTGAAATATTAGAAAAATATACTTAGGTGAGCAAAATCATGACACTAACTTCAATTAATTAAATAAATACATTTGTAGTTTTATTTCTTTTTTTCTGTTCATTTTGACTATTGGTATTGTTCAAAGGCAAAATTGGTTTTTTTCTTAAACTGTTGAATGACTGTAAAAATTTTAAGAGATTACTGTGTTCTATTGTATTATTGTGTTCTTCAAAATTGTTGAACGAAATAAACATAGAACATGTAGTACAGAAAACCATAGAAATATTTATATTATCTGCATGTACTGTTTCATTATGAAAGTCCCAAGTATATTTTTCTTCAGTAATAAAATCGCATATATTACAATAGTACGAGGTTGTTCTAAGAATAGGATCTTTATTTATTTTTAATAATTTCAGTAACTTCAATTTATGATTAAAATACTCTGTGTACTTTTGTTTACTGTATACAGCATTACCATTTTGCAGATTTTTGTTTGATTCTTCCTGGCCAACAATATTTACAGGTAGTTCCTGTAAATTATTTTAATAATTAAAATTACTTTTAAACTCTCATTTAAATTAAAATTTTTTTTTATGTACATCACACCGAATGCATAGCTTTTGTCCTATTTTTTCTACTCAAGTGCAAGCTAATATTGATGGATAAAAGGTAAACTGTACAAAAATCTCTTCATTTTATCTAATCACACCTAATCCTATACTTCAAATTCTCATTGTTTTTTTGAACAAAAGATCCTAGGTACTTAAAGTTTTCAACCTCTCCTATTATGTCACCATTAGGTATCTTGTCCTGTTCCTCCAAACTCATACTCTATAATATATTCGGTTTTACTTTTACTTATCATTAGTTCTTTTCCTTCATATACTATTCTCCATTCATCAAGCTTGTTAACGTCTTATAGGTTTTCTTGTATCAAAACTATATCATCTGCAACCATGGTACCTTGTCTTGTATTATTTTGTAACTTCATCCATTGCAAAAAAAAGTATAGGCAAGAGATCAAGGCCGACGCCTGATACCTACTCTAACTCTAAACACACTTCTTACACTCATATTTGAACATAATACATATCCTCTATCAAACTAATATACAATTTGAAAAATTTTTCTCTTTTATCAATAAACAAGGGAAAACATTCTACCACAACTTTTACTTTATTTTCTATAGTTGGAAGAGATTTTACAGATAGTTAATTATTTTGAATTCACCTTAGCTTCAGAGAATAACTGATCAAGACATTTTATTGTCATATGTTCTACACTTAATGAATGATAATCTAATATTTCAGGGCTACAAACAAATGTTACTCTACAATATTTGCAATAATATTCAATGGTGTTGTTTTTTTTCTTAATATTTAATAATTCAGCTGTTGTGTGAATTGGTTTTTCTTCAAAACGTCTACAATGAGTACAATAGTACATAGGTTTTTTTTTTGAAATATAACGGTTCATAACCTTAGCCATAATAATTGATAAACTAGTGTTTAAAAACTTTTTTGAATGATTAGCTTTATGTTCACATAAAGACTTTTCGGATCCGAACAACAATACTTTACATTTTTTATAATCACAGACATGAGAGTACGTATCTTGAATCATGTGATATTCTGCCAAATGAGATATTGATGTAATATGACATTTCCATTCATTAAAATCATTTGTTTTAAAAGAACAAATAAGACATTCAAAATTTTTGATATATTTATACTGATTTTGAATTTCTGAGTCCNTTGTAACTTTTTTACATATTAAACAGTTTTTACATTTGATTTTATTTCCCGAATTAGACTCTAACATTTTTGATTCTTTGAAATTTGTTATATTAATATCTGAAAAATTGTTTAAAATTAAATTAATTTAATATTAATCTAAATTATTCAAAATCAATGTGGATTTTGAAAAAAGGTTTAGTTAAAAGGTGGCTATAATTATAATCATAAGATTTATCATAATTAATATTCCAGGAAGCAAATTGAACACACATACAAATAATATTTGATAGGTATACGAGTATACCTATTGTATAGATATACTGGTATATAATTTTTAAGAATCACTTTTACACAGCCCATTACATACTAGATGCATTCATCTAGTAATGATATTATTATAAAATTTATTTTATTGTACAGCTTTAGTTTCAATAATACATATTATTATTTAGGGATTACTGAACCTTGGTTTTTAAGCAGCTATCAATTAGTAGTGACCTTTTAGAAAGAAACTAACACTAAGTTTTCTTTATTACATTAATTTTATACAAATTTTGTTTTAAATTTCGTGGTTCTTTACACAATTCTCTATATATTTTTACAATATAGAAATTAAATATAGTTCTTAATTGTTTGGCTTGTTAAATCACGAAACACTACAATCATGTACATAAAATATTACTAAAATTTGAATTAATTACTTGTCAATGTATTTGGACAACTATTATTTCTTGAAACATTTGCTGAAGATTTACTTTTATTTTCCTGAAAACATCAATTTTATTATAAATATACATTAAACTATAATTAATAATTTTTTTTAATTACATTATGCATTATTTTAGGATATCTTTTATTTAATCATTATTTTTACTGGCAAAAAATCTTGTAATTTACTCTTAATAGTTAGGTAAATACATTTTCTTTTTTTTTAGAGTGAAATATTGATTACTTTTAGAGATATTTTTACAATTGAAATGTGTAAATCATATTTCCTAATACATACAGTAGAATATTAAAAATATTTCAATTTATTTGTCAACATTTTATTATTTTCTATTGGAATTTAGTTAAGTAATATCCTTACACTAAATAATACTCCTAATTCTTGACCGAGGGTTTTCAATGTATGATCTTTTTTCTTATAACCATTTAAAGCTAAAATAAATAATTCAACATTAACAATGTGTGATTAAAAAATTAAAATTTTAATTGATTACTTTCTGATTTGTTTACATAGCTTGACCAAATTATTTTTGATTTATATGCATTAACCTAAACAAATAAATAACGATAGGTTGAAAATAATTAGTAGTCAGTACAAAAATGGATATATCATGGACAATTTTAAGAAAATGATGAAATAATATAAATTATACAATTTGAATGTGGTGTTGAACAAAATTCAGAACACTTATTCTAATATATAATGTATTCACAATAAAAGTTGTATGATGAAAGCCTAATGAATCAACAATAACAAAGCATTAGAAGTCATTGATTTACAACACGTTTGAAAAATAGCTCAAAATTAATATTTAAAATATATATTTTAACTATTTTTAGTTTTTGGTGAATTCGAAATTAGATTATCTAACTTATTTTCAATGTTAAAAATTAATTGTTGTAATAATAATTGCCAAAAGAGCATCATTAATGTTTACAGTACTTAAATTTTGTTATAAATAAGTAGGTACATTTAAAATCTACAACTGAGGTCAATAACTTTGTTGAATAGCTAACAACGCTGTCATTACACTTAAATGTGAACATAGTAATTTTGTTTGATATTATACATTTTATATAGTGAAAATTATATTGATTATTGACATATTAAACAAAATGTTTGAATGAAATACAGGAAGCTCTCTGTCCATGCCAGTAATACATATTTTAGTCTTGGGGTACTGAAAAAATAACTCTATACAAAAACAAAAGAAGTGTAATATTTTGTGTGTAGATTATAGGTACATTTGAAGGGAAGATTCTAGTGTAGCTATCATGCGATTTTTAGGGGTTTATTTTTCCTTTGCGTATACATTAAGAATATAAAAAAAAGCCTGACGTACTTTGTTTGGATTTTATGGCGGAAAATTTCATAAAGTACGTGTTTTCCTTTTCGCATATTTCCTAGTTAAAATAGCGCCATATTTTGCTGCGCTCACACGGACAATTTTAATCGAAAATAATCCTCGATTTGTTGTGTAAAACCACGTCAGGTAAGTAGCAAGGAAAAATGAAAAGCATATAGGTAGAACTAGTCACGTAATCTTAAACCGTGGTTTAATATGTAATACAGTAGTAATCATACAGCCGTAAGCAATCTAGTTGATTATTTATATCTGTAATATATAAGATAATCTGTGGGGAATAAAAGTGATGGTCCGGCTGATAATAAAATTCAAAGATATGATATAGGGAATGACTACTACAACGTAATATTGGGGAAAAACGTTGATAGATATACAATTTCACGATTTTATTATTTTATAAAAACACAGACGAGGTTTTCAACCAGAAAAAATGATTCTATCAAAAATCACAAGATACCTTTTTTAATTTACTTTCTTATGGTATCACCATCAAAACTTAGGGCTATTTTTGAGCTTTTAAAGAATTTTAAATTTTTTACTGTAATTCGGTTATAAATATATGTAGAAATTTGAAACTTGGTAATAATACTTATATTGGTCTTATTTAGACGTGGTAAAATTTCAAAAATGATCAGACGATTTGTTTTTTTTAATAAGCTTTTTGAAATCAAATTTAAACGAAAATCGCAAAAAAAAATTAAATAAATAAGGCACTTCAAACTGCTCTCGGAATCCTCATTCGTCAAGCAATGGTTTATCATTACTTACAGATATAAATGAAATAACCTATGTATCCTACCTTCCCAACTTTTCATTAATAACAGTAGCTGCTCCCATCCCCAGTATCACCTTTTTTTTTTTACTAATATATTTGTTTCTACATGACTTCATGTAGGTATATTAGCACTTATTCTCTTGTAATTTTAAAAATATTTGCCTCACCAATTACTAAGCTACACAATTCAGTAAAATCAATACATTCCTTGCTTTGCTGAATATATAAAAGATGTATATATTTTTAAACTGTACCTAATAATAGTAATTTTATACAAACCTTTTTTGCATTTTTTTGTTTCTTTATCATTTCTTCCAGATGTATAGTCTTTTCATTACTTAAGACAGAAACTATCAAGTCATGTCCCTGGTTTTCAACTTTAAATGATTGCAAAGATTCAATAAATTCTCTTAAAGAATTGAACCCCAATTTCGGATATGGTAGAGGTTCACCAATTATCTTAACATAATCATCTAAAATGGTAAATAATTGTTTTAAATAAAGTATTTACAGAAATAACATTTTAGTATCAACTTTATATTATTTAATATAACCAGTGGTGTTCCATTAAAACCAAAGTAATAATTAATTTGTATTTATTTCAATAATTAAAACTAAAAGTTCATAATTTTCTTATGATTTTTAATACATTTAAAAAAAAGTTTGTGTTTTGTTATATTAATTTTAATTTAACTTTTGTATAATTGATATCTTTTTCCCTATAAACACTATAAACTTTAATAAAAGTATAAAATATCCCATGTAATGCACGTAAGTATACTTTCAAAACACTTGGATGGGAAAACCACTGAATATAATTATAATAAAATTATATAATTTATAGGGGAAAAAATATGCATGTAGGTCACATTGATTAATGATGGGATATATTTTATTATAAAGTGTTTATATATAACTGTGCATGGGACACAGTGGTAGAGTCCAATTTAAATTAGTTGTAGTTTTAATCTGTAATTAATGAATGTGATTATCTTATTTATATTTGATTGATAAAGTGTTTGTAATAAAAATACTTAAGGACAAGTGAAATAGGAGGTAAATTTTTAATAATCTCAGGAGTTTTCCAATAAATTGGAAAAACCAGGAAAATAGGTACAGTATTAAGAAAATATATATTGTGTATGTAATTATTTTACTTTTTAGATAACACTATCTAGAAATTCATTAGTGCAAACCGGTGTAACGATACATTTTGTACCGGTTTACAAACACTTAATACTGATTATTGTACACCATTATAGATATTCGACGATGGAAATTAATCCAAAATTAATAATGATTATACTCTCAATTAAATATTAATCAATTTAAATTATTAGTATATTACCTATACTATACTTCCCATTTCCTGATGATAAGTGCTAAATAAAAATAAATTTAAATAGGTATAAATTGTTATTATTATTATTTATCTGGTACAGATCATTAATCTGTTCGTTTATTATTTCGAGGGGGAAATGAAAGGGGATGAAACCGGTATAAATAGTTTGCACTATATGCATACGATGGAGCAGAATAATTGAACCGTTAATTTTGACACCGGTTACAACGAAAAATTTCTCAAATTCACACCAGTTTTATTTTCAAGGGGAAATTTATTCAGGTTTGTACCTACGAATTTCTTAATTCAACTGAATTAATATGAACTAAGTAATATATATATGCCGTTCGATTTTCAATGGAAGCGAAAAAAGTCTACTTCCAATGTGACCAGATAATAAGGAACAAAACTATTGTTTAATTTTGTCTTTTAGAAAATAACATTAACATATCAAGGTACAAAGTATTTGTTGAATATATTTTAGTAAATTTATGATAATTTAACAAAAAAAAGTTACATTTATACTTACCTATGAAACATAATATTTTTTCTTTAGATTTACTATTACGCGTTACCTCACGAACACCATAAACGAGGTGAGGAAAGCGCAATCCATTTATCACGAATTAAGATATATTTTTTTTTATCATAATTCGTGTTATTTATTAATGTGGTTCTTCCACAATAAATGCAACTTGGAATTATAATTTTTATTAATTTAATTAATAATTAATATTCACGTCCGTGAAGTTGGCACCCCCGTCATCAACTTCAAACCAGTGCCAATATTTTGCAACTGATTTGCAATAATTTGCAACGTTAATTTTGAAATTTGCAACTTCACCCATTCTCCGGAAAATCCGATTTTCTGATGGTAGTAATTTTTTTTTTATTATTTATTAATAATTTAAATTATTTTTGAGTTGTTCATACAATTAATAATAATAATTAAAAATAATTTAATTCAAATGTTGAATAAACGATAAAAAAATCAATGACATTATTAAAAAAAAATAACTAATATGTAAACTTCACGCAGCACTCACTTCCTTTTGATCTTTCGACTTCGATTCAGTGTCAATATTATAAAATTAATTGAAACACCAATTTTGTAATTTCCTACTCAACCTCTACAACATGCAAATTGATTTTCTCTTAATGGTATTAAATTGACGTTGCTTTCTTACTTTATGTTGTGAACTTCAACCTACCAAGTATATATTTCAACAATTTTAAACATGCAATTTGGATTCAATAACTCCACCATTTCCAAAAGCATATATTTGTTGTAGGCTAGATGTAGATAATTTTAGACTTATTTTAATTATTGTATATAACTCTATTATTCAATTCAACCATTTATGCATTGGTCATCTTTTTTCCCTCATGCTTACAAACTTATTCTTAAAGATTCACAATGAGTACGCTTCACACGGAGGAGAGTATTTGTAATTTATCTCATAATTTTTTTGAATTTTCCTTATCTATATTTTTTAAAACTGATTTAAATAATGTGTATTCGTCTTTTCACTTGCCAAAATGTTCTTTGGAAAATATGTTTACTTCTTCTGAAATATCTATAAATACTTCATTATTACCCATTAGGCCTTTAATATCTCTGCTCTTTTTAACTAATTAACTGCTGCCAAAATATTTAAATCTTGTAAAATTCTGTCAATCTGAGGCGTTATAAATAAGATTTTGGCAGACTCTCCTATCTCAGATGTGTGCTGGGATAAGAGGTTAAAGGAGTTACATGGTGCATGATGGTTTGCAGACATATCTTTGATATGAGAATGTTTGGAATAAGTTAACAATAGACTTGAGTATTGAAGAACAGCACTAACAATCAACATGGAAATCTAAACTAATAAGTAATAAGTTACTATTATAAAAAATTATTATTCCTTGTTTGAACTATTGTCAATCTTAGTAAACCATCTTAATATAAATTTTAATTTATCATATAAATTAATCAAAATTTTACACAATAGAACATTAGAAAAACTTATAACTACATGGATAGCTTTATGTGTCATAGGCGAATATATAAGACAAAAAAAACATCCCCTCCAGAAAACTGCCTAGTCATGCCCCCGCGTATGGTTCGATAAATAAATGAATGTTTAAGAATTACGATATGTCTTTGGATACGATCTCCGTGGACGGTTATTTTAGATGTCGTTTCGTAGGTGTGTTTGGTGTAATATTATTCTTATTATTCATAAACTTATGTCAAAGATACATATATAAAACTCTGCTCACATCAAGGTTATTATCGAGAGATACTAAAAAACATTGCTTTAAATAGTCTATATACGCCCTATTGTTATGTGTATGCCTGCGAGCCTTAGACAATAACGAAAGGCGACAAACTCCTAAAAATATTCGAGAAGAAAATCGGAGTAAATTAAACCTGTATATTATAGATGTACGTAAATGTATCCGTTTGTTCAAAATTATTATGAAAACCGCATGGAAAATCAAAAATTGTATGAACTAGGTATTTTTTTCTCCAAAGGGCTTTAGCACCCTCAATATTAAAATTGAATTTGCGCCCCTGTAAGTCGACTAATATTTTTGGACAGATACATACAGACTTATCTAACTAAAGTGTTTATTATATACCTTGGAAACCAATGTAACAAAATCTTACAATAAATAATCAATCAATTTTTACACTTTAAAGAACTTTGAATAGAAATTTAATAGTTAACTACTTACTTTCTATGTCGTTCAACAGCACGTCTCTTTTACAGGACGTGATTATGGCTTTTAGATTACACTTAATCTCGTTGATGTCTAACGAATCCGACATTGCACTGTTGTAAATATTTTAAATTCCAAATTCACAACTTAACACGATACCCGATTTATTTAATACTTTTATAAATATGTACTTTTTTTAGAAATAAAATGAAATTTAAACACTCAAATATAACTGACCACGATGTTGATAAGACTAGACTAGTCAGTGTGTTGTCAATTATTGTCATCAGATCACCATGCCACATTAATTGATAACTAAGATTGATATCAATAAATAATGACTGTTGAATCCAAGGTTATGCCTTGGTTGAATCTAAATTTCACTGTTGGTGGTATTGATGTTGTTTATCGTTTGCGGTATAGACTTAGTGGATAGAGACGTTCTCACGAACTTAATATTTATTAGGTTTATAATTTCTATTTGTCGATATAGGTTGTAGGTATTTAAATATGGTTACTAATTGAAAAGTCAGGAACATAGATAAGTATACTAAGTATAGCGGTCGGGAAGATAGGATATATAGTTATTTAATTTATATTGGTTGTACATGTTTTTAAAAGCCGTATGTAATATTAACGATTTTCGACAAAAATTTGATTTTATTTAAACAAAAAAGGTACTACTCAATTTTTTTATTTAATCACTTAGTACAAATTTGAATGAATTCAAATTTTCAAATATTTTGGTTGTCTGTAAAGTTTTTCTGGTAGAAAACATGCATTTTTATAAAATAATGAAATTGTGAAATTATATGTTTGTCAACGTTTTTCCCCACTTAAGTGCTTTTATTTTTAAAAATGAAATCAAAAATCAATAAATTATCTCTCTAAAGTACCATCTAGACAACTTGAGCTTTCAGAAAAGGTGCTACAACTTCGGAGTAAGTTTACTAAAAAAAAACGGGTTCACAGACTAAAATAAAGAAAAAAAGAAATAAACAATTCAGTAAAACCAATAGCTCCCTCTCTACGCTCGGAATCAAAATTAAAGAATCATTTTTGTATATTTTACTGTTCTTTCTGTCTTTTTGCATATTTTTCTAATTATAAATAAAACTAGGAAAAGCAAAAATGAAATAGCAAACTAACTAAGTAGATTGAAAATGCAACAAAAGAGAAGGTATTTTGCCATTTTTCTATTGAAGCAATATTTATGGTAGAAAATAGTTGCAAAAATTAAAAACAATGAAATCAGTAACATTGTGGCACATCGTAAATATTTGCCGTTTACCAATAATCTTCTTTCCAGTTTTTCCCAATTATTCTGAAAAGCTCTTCGAAAATCAAAAAATTACCTCAAATGTACCAACTAGACACAATTTCTTTCAAAAAGTATATAATAAATACAATATAAGTATTTTTTTTTTACTATACATGAAATAGTCTCATACAAAATAATTATTAATCCAATATTTTTTTAATAGTATTTATTGCTGTTCAAAAGTGAATGTTTAAATACAAGTATAGATAGTTTTCTATCTTAAATTTTGTTGAAAGCTGCAATATCAACACTTTGAATCTGAAAAAAAAAGGTTAAATAAGATTTAAAATTAAATATTGGTAATTATTATTATAAAGGATATGTAACTGAAATAATGTGTACATCAATTAAAAAAGTATTTAAATACAATCATTTTTCTATGTTTACTTGTATCATCATTTTCTTTGACAATAGATAATTTGTTTTACTCTTTCTAACAATTATTTGTTTAATGTACTTTATTATTTCATAAGATAAAACTCACTAAATTATATTTAGATAATATCAGTAAATGTTCCATATTTTTTCAACAAGGTTTAAATTTATGTATGTAACTCAAGATACACTGTAAAACACCTAATTAAGGAATGCAATTAAAATTAAGTTAACAAATAATGACTTTCAAAAAAAAAAAATCAAGGTTTATTATAATTTTGTATTATCAATTAATTTTAAATAACAGAATATAATATGATTAAATAAAATTCTACAAATGTTATTGTAATTAAACTTAATACTTGGATATTTAAATTATTGTTTAGTTGGGTAATTGTATTTATTTTATGACAGAAGATAAAATTGGAATATTTGTATTATCAATAATGAATAATGTATACATACATACATTATTACATTTTTTTCCTCAGGATGTAACAAACACTAAATTCAATCTACGACAGTGTAGTTTATAGATAAATTTGAATAAATTCAAAAATATTACTTACATAATCTTCAATTTCTTGTAATGTTTCTTGTAACCAATCAATGGACACTTTTTCGTCTTCAACAACACAGCTAATTTGAAGTTTATGAATACCATAAGCCAGCGGAACTAATTTAGCTGAAATATAATATATAATATTATGTAAATAAAAAGTATATATATTTTACATAGTGGTGGTGGGATGAAAATGTTCAGAGTTATAGTTAGTTGGAAAATATAATTTAATCTATGGTAGCAGAACAGGGATATGATTGGGTAGAGTATCAATAATTGTGCAAGGAAACTAATAGGCAAAGTTTATTAATTAGGTTAAGTAATATTAGGTTAGGTAGAAGGTAAAATAATGCCAAACGTGAGGAGGAAGTTTTGTAATACTTAATTTTAAAGTAAAGGGAGATGTAAAAGTGAGTGGAAATTAGAGTAATACAATTTATGAATCATAGTAAGGATTGGAGATATGGACAAATATTATAGAAAAGAGTAGTATTAACAAATCAATTGGGTTTAATATCAAAGAAATTAATGATAGAACCTGTATTTTGTGCGAGACAAATTATAAAAAGTATATAGAAGAAGAAAACTGTGTATGACTTGTGTATATTTAAAGAATGCTTATGAAAGAGAGTCAAAAGAAGTTCTGGTGTGGGATTTTATAAAAAAAGAAATTTTGAAATTGTATATTAACTGTAGAGGATATGCACGAAAGATTAAATATGAGTGCTGAAAGTGTAAGTGGATTAACAGAAGTCTTGAGCTCTAACCTATTTTTTGGTAATGGATGAAGTTACAAAGGAAATACAAGAAACATGATGTTTACAGATGACAGTTTTGATATGAAAGAAATCTAGAAAAAGTTAATAAGCTTGAGAAATGCAGAATCCTCAAATAGGATTGAAACCCTAAATAGGATGGATGAAAGTGAGGGAGAAGAACATAAGAATTACATTTATTTTGTATTTGAATTTTTAAACAAATAGCTTACATGCTCCCCACAATAAACCATCAGTAGCAACTTGACGCACAGCCTTTTCCAATTCTTTCATATCAGTTTCATCATCCCATGGTTTAACATCTAATATGATATTTGACTTGGCAATTAGAGTAGGTTCTATAAATCAAAAGAATATTTAAAATATAATTCAACAATTAAATGAACATAACAACTAATTACTTTTGGATTTACGAGCAGTATAATCGGCTACTCTTTGGGCCTTAAGTTTGAGAGCTTCTTCACTTTCTTCCTAAAAATATTAATAATATTATAATTTCAAATTTTTACATTGTGATAATTTTTAACTTAGAATATTTAATATACAAAAATTGAATGAGTGATATAATTAGATATATACTATATTAAGATGGTTGACTAAGAATGAAAATAGTTCGAACAATGAATAATAATTTTTTATAATAGTAACTTATTAGTTTAGATTATCATGTTAACTATTAGCTGACTTGTCCTGTTCCTCCAAAATCATACTCAAGTTTACTTCTATTTATCATTAATCCTATTCCTCCAAGTGCTATTCTTAAATATTCAAGTCTATTATTAACTTATTCCAGACATTCTACTATCAAAGATATGTCAGCAAACCATTATGCACCATGGTAACTCATTTCAACTGTTGTCCCAGGACACATTCAAGATAGGACCATCTGCCAAAATCTTATTTATAACTCTTCATAGTTTAACAGAATTTTACACAGGTTGTTGTCCTGACACAACCCCATTTGTCGCCTCTTATGATGATAGAGGTAGAGGGTAGAGGTACTGTGGAGTATTTTACTCATACAAAATATAAATTATAATACTCATTATTTCAATACACCTTAAAACTATGAATACTTAAATTAATCAATGTAAAAAAAAATACTTATTCAAAAAATATTTACGTCAGATTCTGATCCAAACAAATCAACATCTTCATCTTCTTCAGGTAATTTTTCGGAGGTTTCTTTTTGTTCTGTTTTAGTAATACTCGTTGGTACTTTCTTGGATTCTAAAGTGCTAACACGAATTTCTAATTGCTGTAGGAGGCTTTGTAATTGTTCAATATCTTAAAATAATAAAATATTTGGTTTTTCAATAATAAGTTTACATTTTAAAAAATTAAAAATACTAATCTAAATACCTTGAGTGACTGAGCCTGAGTTACTCAAAGACTTCTAAACAGAAAAAAGATATAAAATATGTATAAAAATGTTTATTTCCTGATTTTAATTTTAATGAAGTAAATACTTACATTGGGTGACGTTCCTTCTAATATGCTAACACGGTTTTCCAACTTTTGGAAATTATTCTTTAAATCAGTAATAACTACAAAAAAGTTCAAAATATATAAATCAGTAACAATATATTTATAAGACCTAAAATTTGAAATATTTACTTTTCAGCGTGTCTGCATTTTCACTATCTCCTGAACAAATAGCTATTGGTTCATATTCAGCAGCCTAAAAAAATAACTTATGATTTATCTAACACATAATCATTACAAATTCCAAAATATACATTAACTGTATGCTATATAGAAAGAAATGAGACTTTCTTCAGAGATATTTTACTCCAAATTATTTTATCTGAATATAATTTTGATTTAATATGATTGATATAATATACAATTAAACATTAAATTAATTTTAATTTTTGGATGGTTAATAATCGTATAAAAAATAATAGGTAATCTACAAATTATTTAATTAATGAAATGCTTATATCATAATAATTTATTTTCTTATAAACAATTTGAATAAAATATCTTTTGAAAACTGTATTCACATGATGAGGGTTAGATATTTTGTTTATATTAAGCCATTGTTAATTTATGTATGTAAGCAGCAGTGGCGTAGCAAGGGGGATGTTTTGGTGTTCAAATATCCCCCTTTGACTATATTTATGTCAAAAATTATAATTTGTATTGTATATTATGCAGTTATGCGTCAGATTTCTACAAGATGTGTTGTTACACATAGACAATTATTAAGTATAATATGTTATATGTGTCACATAGGCACAGTAAAGTTACAAAATTACAGCTAAACACAAAATAAAAACACCCCCCTAAACAAATATCCTGGTTATGCCACTGGTAAGCAGTATATTATTAATAAGATTATCTTACACTTCGCAAAATATTACAAGCCTTCTTAATTTCAGACTGGATTTTTGAGAAAGGACTATCACTGGTTTTCTATTAAAATAAAATCAAAAATTAAAGATTGTAGGTACTTGTATTAATAATAATTTCTGTACTGTTAATTTAATTGTATAATTTTATGATCTATAATTTAAAAATAATTAAGCTAAATAAATATAATTGTAATTTAATCAATGGAGTAAAGTTATAAATAAATTAGATACACATTAAACAATAAATAAACAAATATGTACAGTTTCTACTTAATGATTAATTCAATTTTGTTCTATTACTACTTTTATTCTAATACCGATAGATGATTATATTTTTTTAATAGTAAAAGCTACATAAAAGATACAATTTTATATACCAGCAAATGATATAAGTTCAAATACTTTTTAAACTATTGTAGTCACAAAAAAAATTCAAATATGGCATAATTTGTTTTTATTTGGGAATAAAACTAAGTAGTTAAATAAAACCAAACATCTCTGAAGTTACAAAACTTATATCATTGACTGTATACTCCTTTAGTAAATAAAATATATTTTATAATTAAAATAATTACCTATTATAGTATATACAGTTTGTTAGAAATAATTATTTATTGTAATTGGAAATACTTCTTTCGATTCAAAACAATTATTTCTAAACAAATAAGGTAACATAGTATAACCACATTATTGACATTGAAAATTTTAGTTTAACAATGAAAAATTGGCTTTATATTTATAAAATTTGAACAGAAATAAACAGTTCTACAAAATAAATGAAACTGTAATTATAACCAAGTAAAATTTACCTATATGTAGGTAATGATACAATGCTACATGTAAAGACTATAATTTTTTTTCTAATCTGTTTGAACAAAAACTATTATTAAGATTCAATAAACAATAATAGATTACCTAAATTATATACACGTTGCAAGTAATATCATTCCAGTCACTATAAGTTTTTACTAATTAGACAATGCAGTAAAAGCCTTAAACAATGATATGCTTTAAAACCTACACTTACTGACTTTTTTGTAGCATACAATTTAGTACTGCCAATAGCAATTTTCTGCACCTTATTCTAAAATATAGGTAATGTTAATACAAATAATATTTTAATTAAAATTAATTTAATTGCTATTTAATGGACTTCCCAAACTTTTGAATTTTAAATTTTATGAAGAAAAAATAAACAATTTCTTTGTTTGAACATGGAAAATACATACCTACTTAATATTATACTGATATAAATAGTATATGTACTCAACTAAGATATCCCCATCCATGATTTGCTTAAAAAAACCATACAATAATTGCACATCAAATTAATTTATCATTTATTCACCTATTACTCATAAAATGTGAAATATAATATTATTATTATTATTGACTATTATAGCATGAAACAATACTTAAAGTAATTACAAGCATTGTATTCAGTAATTCAGTGTAGCTCCCAAGCGATTTTATGGAATTTTTTTTTTTCTATTATGTGTGGTTTTGCATGCTTCATTTGATTCATGGTATTTGTAAATGTAAAAATGTGTATTTTTAGAGTTTAAAAATGGTAGTAATTATATGCTTAACATTTCGGTGAAATCAAAATTTACTTATTGTACTTAATTTTTATGTTATTGTTAATAAACAACATAAAACCTAACTATAATGTTATTTCAATTATTTACATATTAAAGTAATTCAACAGTTTTTGGAATTTTTTTGTTTTTCATTCAGTGTGTAATAACATAAAGAAGTTTTTGGTGAAATCTGAATGAACCAATATTTGTTCGATATTTACGAGCTATTTTTGGAAAAACGCAAAGCGGCTGTTTCTTTGGCAGTCACTAATTGCCAAAATTAACATATTAAAATGTGTTCATGGACATACTGTTTAAAAGTAAATTACATTGGCAGATATGTATGGAGATTCCAAGATTATTCTAAAAATTCACATCGAAAGAAAGTAAATTTTAAAACTCTATTAACAACTTGAGTGCTACATATTTTATTGAAAACTTAAATTGCCTGCCATGAGATTTGATCTGGGATATCATCAAAACTTCACTTGCCTGTCACATGATTCCAATTGTGATCTCAGGAAAAATTTTTTTTAAAAAATGAGATCTCTAAGAATTTCATTTAATAGGATTTTTGTAGAACAGTTAAACTATATAGTGTAGCTAATACATGCCGGCACTTTTACCTTTAGCATCTAAATATATATTTTTTTACAATACAAATATCACAACGTATATTATTTGTTATTAGTATATATGAATACATTAATAAATATTTAATATAACAACTTATACTTTAAGTGTATTTTCATTTTTGATAATGTGACTGATAAATGATAACACATTCTTTGATTTTAAACCATTACTGCATGTTCAATACAATGAATATCTAGTCGAATAAAACTTAGCTATATACATTAGTGGAAATTGTATACAGCTATATTAAAATAAAATAAATTTATTAATAAATGGTTATACATAAAAAAGAATATTTTTATGGAATCTCAGTTTAAGGGTTTTTTAAAGGTTAAAAATCTACGAGACACAATAGGGGATTTGACATCCTAAAAACCCGAAATCCGGTAGAAACTCTTTATTTTTAAGTTACTAAAATAATTGTCAAGTTTCAAAATCAAATACCCTATCACTTTTGGAAAGTTTGTTCTAGAAAATTATGGCAGGGAATAGAATGTTTGTGATTTTGTTATTTATAAGTATAATATGACATTATAATCGTTGTATTTTACCATGCTCCTCAGCTCTCCTCTCCATTGAGGGTTTTATTTCTAATTATTTTGACTTAAGTACAAAAAAAAAAAAAAAAAAACTGTGTTAAATAAACTATATTTTTCTAAAGGTAAACTGGGATGTTTATGTATCAATAAGAAAAGATACATTTTCCCAATATTTCTTCCAAACCAAAAAATATTAGTTAATACCGATTTCACCAATGCAAAAACACACGTTTCTAAGAAAAAACTTTCAAAAAATGAGAGCTCAACTACATTCTTTCCCAATTATATAGGTAGCCCATTATTATAATAAAATTAATAATCTTAATGAATGGTCTATTGTTAATAATATATGGTTATGTAGCCCAAAGATAATTAGGTAGGTATGTTGAATTTGTATTCAAAACTAAAACTGCTAAACTATGCAAGTTCAATTTAAAAATTGAATTACCTTAGACAATTTTTCGTAATATACACGTTCTGCATCAGCATATTTAGACTTGTTGAGCCATACTTTTTCTTGAGCTAAAATCTCCAATGCCATTTTAACTAAATAACATAAATTAAGTAGATGAAAAAATAAAAAGTAAATACTTATATGAATTATTTTAACCTTATACAAAGTTATTGATTATTTATATAGATCTATTATACATTATATATACAATTTTAAATAATTCGAGAAACTTACTTTCAACTTCGAAATGAAAATCTTGAGTATGACCAAAATGTAAAATGACTTACACAACACGTTCTTCAAAAAGTAAATTTGGGAAGAATGAAGTAAGTTACGTACTAATGTTTAGTAAATAAATGGTTTTCTTATCACATTTACATATTCAAACTGAAGTTGTTTCTATGTTCTTATACAGGTCTACGGTGATTACATAAATATATATATACATATATACTTTTGCTTGATAATACTGCATTATCTCTGTTTTATGGCTGCCGATAAGATATTTACAAATATTATTTTTAAGGCTATAGATTATCTATAATCGTGATTATTATACGGTAACATATTTGAAAATTAATTGTGATAATAACAAAATTTTTTTTTCTTAAAAAATTCTCTCTAAATCAATAGGAAATCCAGTTCGGGAAAAAAAACACAATGCCTGATAAAAACAGAGTTTAAACAATTAAGAAACAAATATAACAGTTAACAATTATAATTTATCAATGTGAAGATGACAAAACACAAGGTAAAATGATAAATTCAAATTAAAAATTCATCTATTCGAATTTTGATAAAAACTGTTTGGAAGTAGTAGTTTAGCTGCTCGATGTAATATCGTAGTTGTTTACTTTCGGAGCAATATAATGCTATTGCTACGGCCATAGACATATTAACTAAAGTTGCTACGACGGAGTAAAAGATGTTCGTAGTAGTTGTCTTTTGTGACAGTGGTGTCTTCCTGATTCCTAGACGCATATTATAAGCAAAACGTACATTGTTGGAAAATCCTATGGAAATCCAGTTTTCCGATTGGCTCTAATTACAATGAGATAACAATTTTATTATCAGTTATCACTTATGATTTTAAAATATAGCATTGATTATAAATACTATTTTGGTGGGGTACACCAATACATGAGGTTTATGATAAGTAAAAGTAATGTTTATTTACGACATAACAACATTAAACAAGTGCTCGCCAGCTGACTGCTTGTGGCGCGAGAACAGGCGAGCACGCATTTATTAAAACAACATTAGCTAAGAAAGACAATTATATATAATGATTGTTCGGGGTCGGAAAACAATGTTTCGCGAACGTTTGATTTTATGATTGTTAAAAATTATTAAAAATCAATACCAATTGGTAATTATTAAAATATTTTTAAAATTTCAAATACCTTTAAATTTATAATTAACCAACTGCAATGCATTTTACTAATAAATTACAAATAAAAATGTTTAAACCATTGAGTAAAATAAATTTAGGCGTATTATGTGCAACAAAATTGTCTTTAAGTTATGACATTTATAATCATACATTTTCGTTGATGAAGATTAACACAGACTAATTTAGTGGAAATATATTATTCATTAATAAACTAATATTCACTGTGTAGCAGTCGATTGCAGATTCTCATTATTTAAATTAAATGTGAGTGATTGATATACTTTATTTTAATACCTAGGTACTTGGTTTATTATTATTGATGTAAAATGTATTAATTGTTCCTAATTTAAACAGAAAAAAGGAATTACAATTTTTTATCTACAATAGGTATAGATATTACAAAAGCCTATTTAAACTCAATGCATTAAAAGTAACTTATGTTGAACTACTATTAATTTTTATCTTCCCTATATTAAAGTTAGGTAATTAAAAGTTACATTTTGACTGGCAAACAGTAAAAACCACTGGAGACCAATTGAATTGGTTTTCATATTTATCAACTGATGTGATAACTGTGTTACTTATTTGCATAGTCATTTTTTTTATTTCTATATTTTATTTATTAGAAAAATGTATACAGAATTTATAGAATATAAAGAATGTATTACAGAAGCTAATAAAAAAGATACATAATAGTAATAATAATAAACACCTACTTAAACATATTGTTTTGAATTAAATTTTAATTCATTACAGAACTTCTGAATTTGATTTATAGTTAAAAAGTTAATTTATATTAAATATATATATATATATATATATACAATATAAGTATAGGTATATATATTTTTTTTTCAAAGTAGATAGGTATAACATACATTAGTTTTACTAATTACTGTCTATAGTATGTATTAGTTAGTAATCAAATTTTTGAATACTAACATGAAAAAACACTATATTTGAAAAAATATTTCAAATAAAAATGCAAAATGTTCTTTATAACACATAAATGTGTTCAAAATTAGAGTAATCATTTCATATTACGATAATTTAGTGCAATCCTTATGATATGTAAGAATCTAGAATGCCTCCCTCCCCTCCTTGATTCATTGGACATTTCTCTAATAACTGGGACAATTAATTACCCTACAAAAAATTAATAGTTTACAAATGCAAATAAATGTATGTACTTTTTATTAAATTAATAAAAAATAGATTACAGTCGTAATCCATGCAACTACTGGCATCCTATTAAGGCACGCGACTTATGTAGGGCTAAAATAGAAATGCTAATTCCATAAAACTAAAAAAATAAGAATGATTTTATAAATTATATTATGTTCAATATGAATTAAAAATGTATTAAGTTTACATAATACCTACTATGAATATTTCATATAATCATACCTACCTAAATACCTAGTCTAAACAAATTAACAAAACTATCTTTTACATGCTCATATTAGAGAACAAAAAACTAAACATTTTTCTGACATGAGATTTAAATGATTTACGTACAGACTAGAATTCAAATTTACACTGTAATGTAGATAATATTATTTTCTTTTTTCTTTGTCTGTTTAATATTATAATATATATCTGCTTTTTATATAGAATATATTCATTTTATAAAAACCAAAACCAATTATAGATTTTTTTACAGTGTTATAATATAGGCAAGCTATATTTTTAATAGAATAATACTACATTATTTGACCTTGTATACAACTGGTATTGTATTCTTGTTTGTTTATTATAAACATGGAAATGGTATTATATAACAAGCACCTATCAATTACAATCACATTTTCAAATCAAAGTTCATAAGTGATAGTCTTATTTAATGCATTATTATAATATTAATAGAATATGATTATTATTAGTTTATGAATGTACAAATTGATGAATATAATAATTCATTTGTCACTCCGGTGATAATAACAAAAAAAGAAATATTATAAATGTTCACTTAATATTGTTTATTTAGGTATCTTAAATTAAAATTAATGTGAAGTTCATACAAAATGAAAAGTTTAATTTTGATTGTTGGTATTTTAATATCAGTGACCAATTGTTTTTCGTCAAATATATTAGCATTTTTACCAACAAAAGCACGCAGCCATTATGGAGCATTTGAACCATTACTAAGAGAGTTAGCAGTAAGAGGCCATAATGTTACTGTATTATCACCATTTTTAATGAAAAATCCACCATCATCTTACCATCATATTCAGGTTGAGGATAAAGAACTTGTGATGAGTAAGTGTTAAGTAATATTTACTAACTACTGTAATATATTACTATTTACAATCTATATCTAATAGTTTTGTTAAATAATTATGTTAATTTGTTTTATAGATTTTAATCCATTCAGTGTTGCTAAAAATTTTCAACCATTTTTAATGCCATTTATGTCTTGGGCTATATGGCCAAAGTTTACAGAAATAACAGTCAATAAATCATCAGTTTTCAAATTAATTCATTCAGAAGACCTCCATTTTGATTTAGTTTTGTTTGAAAACTTCTTCCACGAATGTTTTGTAGCTCTTGGACATAAATTTAATGCCCATGTGGTTCAGTTATTCCCATCTATTCCAAACGCTGGTGTTGCACAATGGCACGGTAATCCATATGATGGAACTTATATTCCAGATATAAATTCTGGATACAGTGACAACATGTCTTTCATGGAACGTTTGACAAATACCGCAATAGCATTTGTACATACAGCTTTAAGTTCATTTTACTATTTGCCAAAGCAAAGAGATTTAATGGATAAATATTTCAACTATACAGGTTGGGAAACGCGGTCTTCAATGGAGAATATGCTGAAAAATATATCATTAACATTAATGAATACACATTTTTCTATCGGAACATCAAGACCTCTTGTTCCTTCATATATAGATGTTGCTGGAATGCATCTAAAACCAGCTACTACACTTCCAGATGTAAATTATATTATTTATTATAGTTGTTACTATTGAATAATATAATATTATGTGTACTGTTATTAGGATCTTCAAATAATTATGGACAGCGCTCTTGATGGTATTGTTTATTTCAGTTTTGGCTCTGTGATAAAACCATCACAGTTACCAAAACATGATTTAGAAATTTTCATAAGACAACTCGGTAAGATTAAGCAAAAGGTTTTGTTTAAATGGGAAGCTGAACATGAAATAGATTTTCCGCCAAATATAATCGTTAAAAAATGGTTTCCCCAAGCTGATATTCTAGGCCATTCTAATTGTGTACTATTTATTACTCATGGAGGTATTCATAGCACTGAAGAAGCTATATACTTTGGAGTTCCAATGTTGGCTGTATCTGTTTTTGGAGATCAGTTACATAATTCTTTGGTAATGCAAAACAGAGGTGCCGCATTACGCATTAGATACTCTGAATTTACTGAAGATGCCTTTGAATTAGCTTTGCATAGAATTATTAATGAAAAATCGTAAGCTTCTAAAAAAACTTATTATGTACATATCATTATTAGTGTTAAATGAAAATTTTTTTTCAGGTTTAAAAAAAAAGCAACAGAATTATCAAAAATTTTTCATGACCAACCATTAAAATCCTTACAGAAGGCTGTTTACTGGATCGAATATGTGTTACGTCATAATGGTGCTCATCATTTGAAAACAGCTGGCAGTCAATTGACTTGGTACGAGTTTCTACTACTTGATGGGTTGTTTTTGGTGGTTATACTAAGAATAATCATAACTGTAATAATGTGGTATGTAGGTAAAAAATTGTGGAAACAATTTTGGAGTTGGAAATCCAAAAAAGATTAAGAATTTTTTTTTATAATTTTACTGACCCAAGTTCTGATAAGTACATATGTTTATAGAAAGTGTTAAAATCTAACTACCTACATTATATTAATTATTAACTAGGCTTCTAATGAAATAATGTCATTATTTTTAATAAAGATTGATTATTTTATAAAAATGTAATTAAAACCAAAATTTGAATTATATACTATTCTTGGGATAATCGCTTTTATGTATTTTTTTCACTGTATAATGTTTAACATTTTAACTCCTATTATAAACAAATTAATCTATTTTTTATTTTATGTAAGTTAAATCCATTAATGTATCGGATGGTATTGTTATATGGTCGGGGGATCATTTGTTAAATATGAAATATTTAAGGAAGAGTGTAGATTCTTTTGAATATAATTTACTGAAACTCTGGATCGTAATGGTTGATTGAATTTTAATATTATAAATAAATGGAGATTGGTTTAATTGTTAGTTTATATTTTATAAGTTATACCATTAGGATGGCTGTTCGCTTCTGTTAATAGTCATCGGCCAACTAACTCCTGATCTGTAGACAGTAATATATTGTCTATCAGTTTGACCCGCGCCAAGAAATGCAAATGTAGTAAAAACTTGTAATATAATATATTATATAACATGTTACATTACCCCCTTCTGTTTTTTTTTTTTTTAAAAAAACAACCACCCTTAAGATCATTATAGACAATAAAAAAACAGTAATTTACAAACACAAAAATATACAGTATGATTCACTAAGTATGCTTACCCTATTTTTTTAGTTAAATTTTGTATGTATTCAAATTCTGATTTTTAGAATTTTTAAGTGTAGTTAAAGCTGATAATTTTGAATACTTAAGTTTTTCACAACATTTAAGGAGTTGCCATATGATAAATAAATAATTTAAGGAGTATCCTGTGGCGATACCAACTTTGGTTTTTTTAAATGAAAACCAATATTAAAAATTCCATAAATAATGGGGTATTAATCTTTAAATACATTTTGGTGTTAAAATTTATTTAAAGTAATAGGTACTCTATCTCTTTATGGAACTTTAAATATAAGTTCTCATTTGAAAAACCAAAGTTGGTATCGCCACAGGATACTATTTGAAAATATGGGCTTTAAATACATTTAAAAATTCCAAAAATCAGAATTTGAATATATGTAAAATTTAACAGAAAAAAAAAAAAAAAATGAGGCGAGTATGCATAGTGAATAACCCTGCATAGAAAACAACACTTTTTTGTGTAGATACTTTCTTCTGCTAAACAATATAAATCAAAACATATTTTTTAATAATTACCTTTAATTTTTTTTTTACATACAATATCTTTCTTTTTTTTTAAAAATAAACCCAAGTCTTAATGATTTCAATTTGTTATTCTATGTACTTAATATTCAATATTAATTTGTACATAATCCTCGTTCATTTTGGCAGTACATTAAGAAAATTAAAAATAAGAATGATTTACCGAATAGTATGTCATGTCATATAATGACACAAGTTCTGAAGAACTGTTAACTATTTATAATATGTTCTCTGACTACTTCGCCTCTGTTTAAGTAAAACATCTTCTACTGAGTTTGTCTTCATTCCATTATGTTGAGGATTTGTTAAGCTATTCAAGTTTTGTTATTACAGTTGTGGAAGTCCTTGAAGCTTTAAGTTATTTAGGCTTCGATACTCTTTCAGGTCCTAATATGTTGCCTTCTATTTTGCTCAACTGCTGCCATTATGCGTTAACAAAAACCTATCTATTGCCTATTTTCTCTCTTGTTGTCAACTGGAGAATTCCCTTTGAAGTGGAAATCTTTGTAAGCTTTGTTACCCCAATATAGAAGTTCGGTGATCGTTCTTTGATTAATAATTACATATCAATATCGAAATTAAGTACTCAGCCAAAGTTATTAAAAAAAACTAATGGTTCCAAAGATGTCTAGCACTTTTAATAGTATATTAATAAATGAATAACATTGTTTTCGTACTGAAAAATCAATTAATACAAATTGTTTAGTCTTTAATTATTTTTTAATGCACTAAGTATCCAGTGGTAAGCAAGTTGACGTAGTATATACTGATTTGAGAAAGGCATTTGACACTGTTGACTACGACATTCTGATTGGTAAGCTCAGGAAAATCAGTGTTACTGATCTATTTTTATCATGGCCTCATTCCTATTTGACAGGCCGCACTCAAATGATAAAAAACGGTAGTTTAGTTTCTAACGAAGTCTCTATATCATCTAGAGTACCTCAGGGAGGACATTTGTCTCCAATACTTTTCTTAATTTTTATCAATGGCATAGAGAATATTTTCAGATATTGCAGATTTTCACTAGGTATTTGTGGATAATTTAAAGTCTTACTTGCCTGTGGCATCAGTTAACGACGGTAAAAATTTTCAATCAGATTTCAACCGTCTGGTTGACTGCTGTTCAAATAATGGCCGTTTTATTAATATTTCAAAATGTGTTAATCTTTCTTTTAGCCGTCACCGATTGTAAATTTATTCTAATTGTATAATTAGCAATGAAGAGATTATTCAGGTGAACCAGGTTTGTGACCTGGGAGTAATATTTATCGAGTATCTTAGTTTTAACTCGCGTATTAATTCTATTTATACTAAATCTCTAAGTGTATTTGGATTTTTAAAAAGAAATTGTTGTGAATTCAAAAATATAAATTACTTTATTGCATTTTACTGCACATACGTTAGATCTATTTTAGAATTTGAATTTGTGGAACCCATCTCAGTCTGTTGTATTTATGTGTATTAGTGTATTGTATTAGTGTTAAGTTAATGTAAAAAAAATGCTGTACTTTTACCCCTTGCAGGTGTTAATTATAATAAATAAATAAAATGTTAAAACAAATTGGTTATTTTGTAGTTACCGAGAGTAGATGATTTTAGTAACATTCCTTGTGTATTTTTAGTCAGTGCGACGCTATAGTGAAATATTTATAGTACAATACAAATTGTATCGTTGTCGTTTCGCCTAATTGATCATAGGCAGAATCGCCAGTGCTGAAACGTCCTAGACTCTTAGATCCTAAGTAGTCAACAAATATTATTTTGTTATGTCGCAATTTGTATTTATCATTATCAAACACGACAATAATGTAGTAGTTTTCAAAATAAAATAAACAATATTAGTACTATTGTAGTATTAAGCAATTCTATCTTAATATTTATTTATATAGCTGAGGAAGAGAAGGGGGTAATAAAAGATTGTGCGCTTTTTTTCTTTGTGGGTTTGTGTACTTTTATTCATAAAAATATAAATATCATAAGAATATTCTTATTGTGTTTATTTAAAATAAAACTTTTTTTTTTTTAATATTGGACCGTGGACAGATAATTGTAGTGAAACCTTCTTTGATGGACACCTCTAAATAGCGGATAATTTTGGAGAACGAAGAAATCTTGACTACTTATCTATAGGAGAACCTTTAAATCGGGTCACTTTAAAAATGAAAAGATGATAGTTAAACTTGATTTTAATAACTTTTATCTTAAATTAAGAATAATTGTGAAAAGTCTAGATAAAAGAATACACTCGAAGGATATATTTTATAATTTTTACCCGTAATTTAACTTATTTGACCTATCTGTCCAGTCATTGGAACATTATTGTGTTGAAGAAAATATTTTTTAGTCTATGTCATTTGAAGTTATCCTGTTCGTATTTAATTATGTTTGTGATTTGTTTTTGAATGTCGGGCAAATAAATATGGGCGTTTGTAGACAAATTTGAGGTCAGTAAACATAAATCGAGAATATCATAACAAGTAAAGACATTGTTTATAAAATTTCAGCTGAAAATGGAGAAAAAAATTCAAATGAACAAAAATATGGGAAAGTTTCATCTATGAATATCGGGCACCTATTAATAGCGGTCAAAATTTTAATGAACTATTTTCCGGTATTTAGAGGGTTCACTGTATTATCACTTAATTTTGAATAAAATAAAATTATCGTAATAAATTATATTCAAAACAATAACCTAAATTACGCTATTACACTTCTTCGTTATTTTATGGAATTATACTTATGATAAATTAATATTTTGATCTTGAGAAAATAATATAAATTACAAGTTTCAACGGAGGGCTAAAATGTCTTTTGGTGTGGTATCATTGTTTATTTCAGACATTATGTGTCGTAGGGATATAGAATTATAGATATTTGTACAATTTTACTAATAAAAATATATTGATTATTGTAACGATTTTCAATTTGTAAATATATAAAAGCGTTTAAGTTGCATCCTCTTGATTTTAACCTTGTTATGGTCATTAGATAATTCAATTTTTTGGCCAAACTATTTGTTCAATCCATGGAATATAATACGATACTCTTGTATATACAGCTGGTGCATTTTCTGTACCGCACGGTTTTCCAAACGATGTTATTCCAATTTGTGTATACATACATTCATATTTAGAATTAATTATTTGAATTGGACCACCGGAATCGCCCTATAAATATTATAAATAGTTATAGATATAGGATATGATAGTAGTTATTTTTAAGAATTTGAAGTGCAAAATTCTTACTCCACAGGTGTCTTTTTCACCTGACATATCGCCTACACACATTTGACTATTTCCAGTTATTCCTTGTGGTAATTTTTTGCGATCAATTTCACTTGAGTCAGTAATGTAAGTTTTGATACATTCATTTATTGAATGAATATCTAAAGTTACTTTTAACAAGTGTTCACTGGGCGATCCACCTAAAGAAATGTAGGTACAAATACGTTAAATTATATAATTTTTTTTTTAGCCAACTTATCACTTATGGAAATCATGGAATATAATACATATTAATATATTATATTTGCTTACCAAATCCCAATCTTCCCCAACCACTAGCTATTGCTTTTGTTTCTTTTATAGATGACTCCACGTTTAGACAAATAGGTCGTATGTATGGTGAAAACTCTACATTTTTTTCTAATTTCAATAATGTTATATCATTATAACGAGAATTATTTCCGTTATATTTTGGATGATTTTTACGATCTATTATTCTGTAATTTAAGGGCTCTGCATCGTCATCATTACTGATATAGTTAAGGTCACCTAACCTGACCCAGCGTAAAACACCAGCTCTAAACATTAAAGAGCAAAATATTTTCAGAAATTATTAGGTAGGTATTTACTTATATACATAAGTCGAATGGTTACGTATTTTTTATTTCTTTTTGCTACTTGTTTTTATTAGAAGAGTAAGCTTAATTTATAATTTATAAGTACACAGGAAGAACAGATTGAAGATACTAGGTAGGTCACGATATCATTGCCTTTTATGGTAAAAAATGTGTTTGCATCGTATGTGTTTTTTTTAACTATAATTACTTATTATCACTCACCAGAATTTGTTTATGTAATTAATCAACAAAATAAAGCATATTTTTAATTTCAACTGTCAACTAGTGTAATCATTATAAACGATAATACGCGTGTCGCTTATTTGATTAAATTAAAAATTATTATTCATCTAATCATCAAACGATAACATACGCGTTTATCTTAATCGAACTTATAACTAAACATCAGTATACCTTATTACCAATCCGATGAATGGTGGATTATTCTAAAATTCTCTGAAATATTTACTAGAAAGAATAACTAGTTGATATTCGTATACTATCAAGTTTATTCACGGTTACAATACCAAAGCTTGCCTACTGATTGAAAACGTTAAACCCAATGAATTTGGTCAAGTCCACGGTTAATAGATATTAACAAAATAAAGTATAATATACTAATAATATATCGGTACTACATAGTTATAACACGAATAACATATTTGTTTGATTAGGAATCGTATATTTGTTTTTAACTACCAGTAGCCTTATATCTCAACGGTTTGTACCTACTAGATGAAACAGATATCTAAATGTGATTTACCGTAAGATATCATACCAACATAATATCTGTTCTATTATATAAGAGCATCCACCTTCAAAACATAAGGGAGGGGGAATCAATGTATTATTGTTATTTCTAATTATATTTTTCATTTACCATTTGTTAAACTGTTACCCAACTAAAAGCCATGAGGACATGTCCCATCTTCTTTAATAGTCCATAATTATTTACATAATATTTTTTACAGAGTACCTATTATTTAAAATAAATATTTTTATACTTTTCACAGTGCGCGGCAGATAAAATCCATCTATTACTAATTAGCGATCCTCCACATACCCATATAATTTTGCTTGGATTTGCCTCAGTACCTATCAAAGCCTATTAATGAAAAATATGAGTATAAACACAACAGACAATTTAATAACATTACATTCTTAATGTTTATATATTATTACCATATGAGGAAATTCCTTAGGTTCAGCTTTTTTACCACCAATAATTAAGGTTTTGACATCAACACAATCTTTAATTTCAGTGGTTGTTGGAGGTCCTATGAGTATTGGATCGAATACAGTTCTCCGGATTAATTTTGAATATTCATGGCACACTATATTTTAAAATTTAAAAATAACATAATAAATATCTAATGCTATATAATTGTGAAATCTTGCGATGCGAAAATATTACCAAGGTAGGTTTAAAAAAATGTGATAATTTTTTAATGTCTGTTAGTTTCATGGTGTACATCTTAGATTTTGAACATAGCTTTAATCAAGAATGACAAGTGACCTTTTTTGTTGCATTTTGAATTTTTTTGCTTAGTAAGAAAGTCTTTTTTTGATATAGCGTGTAATTTTCTTAATAATTCAGTAAAACTGGGAAACACGTGGGAAAACTGGGAAATCGGCACAATATTAAACAAATATTATTAAAGAAAATATATAGAGCCTACTTAAATATTTTACTATAATATGGCATATATGCTGTTGACAGAGCATCACTATCAACTGAAATTCATACAGAATCGTTTTTCTTAATCAATGGTTTATCTATGGTTGCTTACTTGTATGCATTAAATTACATATAACAGTGGCTGCAACCGTCTCTATTATCCAGGGACGTCTTTATTTGTTCAATTTGATAACCAAATAATTCTAATTAATTATTATTATTATTAATTTTCGTTAAAGTTTACATTCAATACGTATACCTAGTTATAAGCGCTTTATTTTTTTTTTTATATATATATGAAAAACTGCAATGGTGTATACTACAGACCACATACTGATCGAACTTCTTGAGACTATACATATCAAATTTAGTCATTCCGTCTCAATTTTATAACTTTGTATAGCGTTAATAAAAGTTAGGTTTTTTATGTGTATACTCAATAAAATTTTGAGTTGGCATTATGAGTTTGCACAGTTATGATTTTATGAAATATACATAAATAAAACAAAGTTTGGTGAGTTACTCCATTTATAACTCAAGAACGGCTGGAGCGATTTTAATGATCTCTGATTTGTTGGATAGCAGAATAACTCTTATAATATATGACGAATTAAACAAATCAGAGATCATCAAAATCTGTCCAGCCGTTATTGAGTTGTTAATTGGTGTAACTAACCCGACTTTGTTTTATTTATATAAGATTATTGTTTGTTCAAGGGTTTCCACGGAAAAGAAAACTATTATAATTATTATTACTATTATTTCTACTATTCAAAATTCAAAATAGAACATATTTAGTCCGCCAGAGTTGGATTATCAACTTTCCACCTATTTGTTTTCATTCAATTCTAACACAGCCAAAACCACCAAAACCAAAAAATAATAATAATACAAATTTGTACGGTAACGCCGGGCCCGGGAAAGCTAGTACACTATATTAGACACATATTAATGATTAAACTAGTTTAGTTACCCAAATTGTAGGGTGTTGGAAAATGTTCTGGCAAGATTTTCGAATATAACGAAATTCAAAACGAAATTCAAGCCTCAAGTTAATTCTGATCTTTATATCTATACAAATTCGAGGATCTATTAAGAAATTTTAATATTTAAAAGCAATTTTTCTCAATTTGTAAACAAATTTGTAAACTGAAGTACAAACCTCAAATTTAAATATAAGTGAAACATACTTACTTTCACTGGCAGAATATGTCTTTACAGCGGATGATGGCTGAGGGTTTGTTTTAGTACCATTTGACTGTTGACAGCAAACAATTGGCGATGAGTTTGACCCTTTAGTTGAGCATATTGTTGGCCTAATATTATTTTTGAGTCCTTGTACTGCAGATGCACAGTTTACCAGTGGCTTACAAATACCATTTTTATTGCAAATTGAACCTATTACATTAAAATACTAATTAAATTTTGTATTTATATAATATTAAAAATTAACTCTTTGAGTACAAAAACAATACATCAATAACTTGCCTTCCAATAGTCCTAGATGTTGGGCATAATATCCCGAACTCATAAAACATAATGCACACAAAATTAATAAACATTTTAAACTTTTAAAACTCTTCATTTGAAATAAATAAATTAAAACGAATGCCAAAATTATATTCAAAAGTCTGCAAGTGTTATTATTAAAATTTGTATGAATAAAAGCTACTATAAGAGTTGTTTACTATTTTGTACATTGGTTTAAACAGTTATACGTTCTTACATTACATATATATATATATATATATTTATTAAAACACTTATTAATTTATACTCCTCCCTTCCGCACGACTATAGAATTTCCATTGTGGGCAGTTCACTAATAAAATATACACGTATATACATAATATATAATGAATCATCAAAATTTGAATCATCAAGGTCAAGAGACTGTATTACTGCAATAACGTTTTACCAGAAAAACCTGTTCAGGAATTCTCATCACTTATAATAAATAAACCTCCTATACATTTTCAAGCATTTCTGTTAAGTCTTAAAATTTATTTATAGAGTACCTACCAAATAAAAATCACGTAAAAACTCGCAAAATTAAAATGTCTATAAATACCTCAAAAGTTGCCTAAATGTTCTGAAAGTTTGACCATATCTAGAATAATTAAATATAAGTTTTCCGTCAATATTTTATGTCTACGAATATTTTAAACTAAATTACATTATAAAAACGAAATTTAAAATAATAAAATAATTTTCGTTAATTTTCCAGTTCTTTTTACGTATTTTTCGGTTTTGATCAATTATTAAAGAAACTACACAGGAAATCAAAAAATGACTTTCTTGATCACCAATTAGATTAAAAATGCAACAAAGAAGATGTCTTGATGTTTTTCTATTGGAGCAATATTTCCGATAGAAAATATAGGCAGTAAAAATTTAAAATAATGAAATCAATGTGCCGTAATTTGAAAAAAATTGCATACTTCGTCTTTTTGGATTTTCCTAATTATTATAAAAACTACTTTATTTCCGTAAATATTTTCTTTTTTTTCTCGGTTTTGTTCACGTTTTAAGAAAACTTCACGACTTTTATACGGTATTGGTAATTTTCATTGAAATTTTATAAGAGAATTAAAATTTGAAATTTGAATTTAATACTAGAAAAACAGAAATGTATTTATAATAAAAACAGGATAATACATGATAGGTACCTAAATTATTTTTAATTTTCCCTACACATACACTACAGGCTGTACTCATTAATATACTGTGACTCCTACTCCTACTATATTTAGAGGTCGGTAGTGTTTATAACGGGGGGATAGAGGAAGATACCTGTATTAACTTACCTATAGCTTAGTTACTTTAGAGAGTATAGTAGGTAGCTAAGTGCGTTATGAATATGTTGATAATATTAATATTTTAAAACAGTTGTTTAACGTGTTCGCCGACAAAGACAATCGAATAATAATATCACGGTAGTGCTTTACTAACCGAATACAATTTAGTTGTCTCATTATGTTCCGTGTGTTCTTTGTTGTCACAGCAATTATGTTTTTTGCATCGGTTAATTATGCAGGTTAGTATAATTTACTTACAAAACGAAATCATTAAAATTTACCCACGGTTTTTCAAACCAAAAAAAATTGGATTCAAACAATTTTTTCGAGTAATTCGCCGTGGGTTATCTACAGTGGCTTAGTCAGGATTTATCATTGAAAGGTTTAGAGGGGTCTAGGGGGGTGTTGGATCTACAACCTTATTTACCTAACTTAGAGTTAAAAAAAAGCAACGCGGGATAGAGGGTATAGATAATATATCAACATTTTTTGATCTTCCAAATTACAACCGTGACAAACCTCAATAATGTGACATAATAAATTTGTATTATTTCATTAAGTTTATTTGCGTACTTCGTGTCGTTTAATAAATATAAAATTTAAAACGAATTAAAAGGTGTGAAGAGGTTTTTAACATCTTAAAATATGATTTATCTAGGATAAATATAATTATAAATCAGTTGCAAAATAATGAAGTACTATTTTATGTGATCATTTAGTGTTAATATTTTATTCAATTATATTTTTTTTCAAATAAAAATGCTTTAAATTTTTTAAATTCTGAGGGGAGCGAAGAAGTTTATGGTTTTATAAAGATGTTTATTTTGTATTTATCCGTGTGCAACGTTTTTAACAGAAATCTTGCTCCGATTTACATTGATAGCACTTTTTCTAAAATGAAATCAGACTGAGGAGGTAATTTTTTGATTTTCTCAGGAGTTTTTTGATTTTCTCAGGAGTTTTTTGATTATATCAGAAAAACCGGAAAAACGGGAGAACGGAAAAATAGGTACAATATTAAACAAATATAACTAAAAAAAATGTTTAATGCATATGTAATCATTTTACCATAATATGACATATTTTATATTGTTGAAAATGCAACACTATCAACTGAATTCCGCTCAGAATAGTTTTTTCATTAGCAATGGTTTATCGTTGCTTACAGATATAAATTTAATTCCCGTATTTATTTTACCTTCTCAAATTCTCACCTAAAACATTGGCTGCACCCACGTAATTATTGTTTTATGTTCTTTATCCAACTACTACACCAATTTGATAGTATACAGTGTATACTTACTATACAAATAATTAATATATCATACATATATAATTATTTGTTAAATATATAAAATTGGTAGCTTTATATTGTCAACATAAAATAAAATGACTTAAATTAAATTAAATACGGAATTATGAAATTAATAAATTTGTGAATAATCACTTATAAACTATTTTTTAACATGTTTGACTCGAAGACTTATATTTGTCTTATAGTCAATTGGCATCTAATTATAATAGTTTGGACCTATACTTTTTAAAGGACTTTTTGGTATTTTCGACAGGAGTATAATAAGCTTTAAAGTTCTCTTACGCCCAATCGGAAATCTATTACTTACGCAGTTACGCCGACACACACAATGGGTGCAATAATACGCCTGTATTTGCTACTTATTGGCTGGCCCTTACGGGCATAGTATTAGCCGTTATTCTATTCAATACTTTACTAGTACTAGGAAATCAGTAATAGCATTTAGGTGTTGATCCAATACTGATATATTTCAGGCACGAATACATTTTGTGTTAAGACCATCTAGTGTATTACGTAGCTGTGTCAAGTGTTGGCGGAAAACTGGCATTTTACGGGCACTTTATGAGGTGTGATCTAAGGCTAGCCAGAATTGTCATGGTTGACTCAGTAATGAGTTTAAAATTCGTAGACTTAAAATGTTGACAGAAAATTTTTATTTTCAAAACTTTCAGAATATATTTCAAGCAATTTTTTAGCTATTTAAAGACATTTAATTTTTGTGAGTTTTTAAATAATTTTTATTTGTTAGGTAATCTGTAGATAAATTGTTAGATTTTCTGACCGAGTGCCTATGGCCGTACCCCTCCCCAGTATCATATTTTTATTTTTTAAATTTATTATAAATATATTAATTTGCACGGATATTCTACTATTTCCAAATACATACAATACGATTGTTATAATGTAAATATAATACAATTTATGTAAAACAACGTTTATACAATTTATAACAACTGCAAAATGTACATAGTTTAACACTTTCACTGTTATCGGCACATTATATGCATTTACTCGTTTATATTAAAATCGTATTATTTGACAAAAGAAACGAAAAGGTTCTAAGGTAACGAAATATGAAAAATAAAAACATCAATACAAATCAAATTTTAAAAATAAAAAATAAAAAATGTACATTTTTTTAATGTGGTGACATTTTATATTTGCAACATTTTTGGGCATGCGGCGTTATTTACTGCGACATTATTTGCTTGGGATACCTCTTATTTTTATGGTTAAATTACGTATAAATTTAAATTATGATTTACGGAATTTTTAATTGTAGTTAAAGACGATATTTTCAAATACTTAGATTTTTCATAATATTTAAGGAGTATCATGTGACCAATATCAACTTTGTTTTTCAAAATAAGAACCTACATGTTTTAATGAAAATTGCCAACTAGATTATTTTAATGGAAATGTTGACGAATCGTAATCGAAATTTGAACAAAAAGTTTCTGAGTTTCTGTTTTAAATTTTAATGGATAATAATTGAATAATTTTAGGATTTAAAAAATAATTTTCCAGTACACGACTTTTATGAAACAGTATAGGTACAAAATCACCATTAAAGGCTATTATCCTTAATATTCAAAGCAGAAATATTTAGAAACATTTTTTTCAAATTTCGATTGCAATATAATTAAAAACAAAACATTTAATTGGTAATTTATAAAACAAAATGTAAATGCTCATTTGAAAAACCTAAGTTGTTATCGCTACAGGATTATCCTTAAATGTTGTGAAAAATCGAAGTATGTGAAAATATTGTCGCTCCACTCAAAAATTTTAAAAATCAGAATTTAAATGTATAGACTATTTAATCATAAAATGATGTAAATATGCTTAAAAAATACCAATATATTAGATTATATCTATAAGATAATAACAAAATGTATGTAAAAAATAATAGTTTTTAATTATTACCCTTATCTAGGCCTATCTTACCTAACCCTTATCTGTGTTGATATATCGATTAATTGTTATTCATGAGCGATAGCATCGTTTATTCGATATAATTAAGAAATAAGTATATATCGAATAATCAGATATATTGATACAATCGAGAATATATCGATATAATCGATACATCGATGTATTGAGAATATGTTAAAGTATCGAGAATACATCGATATACCTTCATAATACATAGATTATTTTAATCAAATTGACTATAGAACATGACGAATAAATATCGTGAGTGTATAAACAGCTTCTTCAAAATATATATCGATTAATTGCAATAATCGATTATTTTGACCCAATCGATTATCGAGTCTAACAAATAACTATTGCGCTGGCCTATCCTTATCCCCCAATGACAAAATCATTTGAGTGTAACGCGCCTGTCATTTTTTCTGAAACAAAATTTTAAAGATAATAATATTTGTTTATTTAAGTAATATATTTTGCAGATAAAGAGATAAACACTGTGCCAGTCAGAACGCAGCGGCAGATTTACGATCAAAAGGAAGTTTCATGTTAGTAAAACCACAAGTAATTTTAATCTAAAATCGTCACATTATTTTAATTTATCAATTAGCAAATTATATTATTTTAAATAAATCACTCATAAAAAAAAAAAAATTATTTGCATTTTATTTTATATAAATAAATAACTTTTAACTTTTATGTAGTCACATACAGAATTATA